CTCTTATTTATTTACACATAGTAAGTTTTGTTTTTAATATCATTTATTTAGGTAATCATAACGGCGAGATATGTATTTATTTAGGTAGTCTAGGTAAACTTAATCTCAAAACCACGATCTTTAATGTTCTAATGAAGACACAGAATGTATTCTCGTTTTTTATTATTTTTTCATATATCGATCTCATAGGAAATCATAGACGTCACCAACATATTGAGTCATTTTGAGACATAGATTTTTTTTGTTGCTTTGATGGGTGGACAAGCTCACAGCCCACCTGATGTTAAGTGGCTACTGGAGCCCATAGACATCTACAACGTAAATGCGCCACCCATCTTAGCAATAAAAAAAAACTTACAATAGCAGCTCGACTGTGCCCCTGGTAGTGCCCACTGGTTTCTCGCCGGATCTTCTCACTACTTCTCAGTGGGTAGCGTTTCCGATCCGGTGGTAGACTCTGCGAAGCACGGCTCTTGCTAGGGTTCGTGTTAGCAACGTCGTCAGGTTTGAGCCCCGTGAGCTCACCTACTAGTTAAGGTTACGCTGAAATAGCATCTCAAGGCTATCAGCTTATATAGGAAAAAAGAAAAAAAACCTGGTAGTAGGTACTGATAGGCATGAACAAGGATGATCACCTACCACTGTTTCGGGCAGTGGACTGCACTTAGTATTGGGTTGGATTGGGTTGGCAGGCTGGCTTTAATGCAACATGATTTAGAAAGAAGGCCTTTTATTTCTCTTGGTACACAACACAAAACATATGCTAAGTCCGTCAGAAAATTTGTATAACTTCAACGATTAGTGTTGTCATTTATGTTAATGTGTTGCTACACTATAAAACAATTATATATAAAACTAGCTGACCCAGCAGACTTCGTAGTGCCTCAATCGATAAATAAAAGACCTAAACTTTTATATAAAATAAACTTAAAACAAACAAAAGGAATCCGTCCGACGAGGGACACATCAAAGGAAAAACAAAATTGTTATTTTTATTTAATTCCGAGTATTTTCATTATAAACCTTCACTGAACTTCCATAAATAATTTAAGACCAAAATTAGCCAAATCGGTCCAGCCGTTCTCGAGTTTTAGCGAGACTAACGAACAGCAATTCATTTTTATATTTAAAGGCTAGCGGACCTGACAGACGTTGTCCAGCATACACAAAAATTCATTCAAGTCGATCCAGCCGTTTAGTTGCAGTATAGATAAATAACATAGATACCGACTGCAACGCCATCTGCCGGGCTGATTTGTGAATTTAAACCATCCAGGGCGCCAACTAAGCGCATACAAAAAAAAACATTCAAATCGGTCCAGCTCTTTAGGAGGAGTTCAGTGACATACGCACGGATTAAGATGTTATGTTTATGATTGCCCTAAACACCACTAGGTGGCGTATACAAGCGTATTCAAACATCAACAAAATTAGATGTTGGCGTTTCGGTTTGAAGGGTGTGTGGCAGCCGTTGTAACTATACTGAGACCTTAGAACTCATATCTCAAGGTGGGTGGCGGCATTTACGTTGTGGATAGACATGGGCTCCGGTAACTACTGAACACTAGGTGGGCCGTGAGCTCGTCTACCCATCTGTTTAATAAATAAAAAAAAATTGTTGAACTTTTTTATTACCTTAATGGTACCTTACACGAATATTGGAGCAAAGACCTAGTTTATAGGACCTTTGAAATTCAAACGTTTCTAAGCTAATTTCTATATTTCGAATGCTGAACGTAGATACATAAGTCGTCCTAAATCTTCGTTGAACAAACAAATTGATAATAGTTGTTACAATGACAAGGATCTGAACAAAGGGGCGCGAGTGATTTATTGTTACGTGGACCTATCTGGTCCTGTGTTTGGCCGGGTGCATTGTATCTACGGCATCCACACTGTCTTTTGTCATGCCACTATTGTTTCCACCGCCCTTTTAATCCCGGATGTTTTAGTGTGGTAAGTTTCATGCAGAAGATACGCAATTGCTTCACGAGAAACACTTTGATATTTAGCGTGGTAATGTTCATGCAGGAGATACGCAATCGCTTCATGAGGAACATTTTGATGTTTGAGCGCGGTAGGGTTCATGCAGAAGATACGCATATCAATTGCTTCACGAGAAAAATTTTGATATTTTAGCGTGGTACTGTTCATGCAGAAGATACGCAATTGCTTCATGAGGAACATTTTGATATTCTAGCGTAGTAATGTTCATGCAGAAGATACGCAATTGCTTCATGAGGAACATTTTGATATTTTAGCGTGGTAGGGTTCATGCAGAAGATACGCATTTCAATTGCTTCACGAGGAACATTTTGATATTTTAGCGTGGTAAGGTTCATGCAGAAGATACGCAATTGCTTCACGAGGAACATTTTGATATTTTAGCGTGGTAGGGTTCATGTAGAAGATACGCAATTGATCACGAGAAACGTTTTGATATTTTAGCGTGGTAGGGTTCATGCAGAAGATACGCAGTTGCTTCATGAGGAACATTTGGATATTTGCGGTAAGGTTCATGCAGAAGATACACAATTGCTCCATGAGGAATATTTTGTTGTATATGGCTTAGAGGCTACGTTTTTTTTTCAAATGAAGTTGAGCGGTTTCCAAAGGCTAATAATTGAATATGATCATTGGGAATGCCTCTTTAGATATGAGGTTTTTGTTACAGAATTTAACAGAGTAATTGGATGAACGTATGTCCCGTCAGATGATGTTACAGTAACGCTTTACTGGTAAAACATTGTGTTCTATTTCAATATTACATCAGCGAAAATACACTTTGGCAAAGCATGATATTTCCGCTTCGATTCGCCACCGTTAGCAGCAATTTGGAAACCTTCGTAGCTCTCCCATTTAACTCAGACCCCTTGAATTCTCAAATTCTAGCAGTCGTTGAACTACAAGGAGCAGCTTGGACAGCTCAACGTTTGTTAGTTTCCTATTAGTGATCGTAAATTTGTTCTATTCGCAACGAATTTGTTTTACGATTGCGGTTCGCGACTTTACTAGTGATTTTACTGTTACAACAATTATTAAGAACTAGCTGACCCGGCAGACTTCGTGGTGCCTCAATCTATAAATAAAAGACCTAATCGTTTTTTATAAAATAAACAAAAGGAATCCGTTCGACGGGGGACACATCAAAGGAAAAACAAAATTGTTATTTTTTTTTAATTCCGAGCATTTTCATATTTATTTACCTTTTAAAGCTTCTCTGGACTTCCACAAATCATTCAAGACCAAAATTAGCCAATTCGGTTTAGCCGTTCTAGAGTTTTAGCGAGACTAACGAACAGCGATTCATTTTTATATATAGAGATTGTTAACTTATAGATATGTAAAGAAACTATATTTCTTTATAGTCCATTTGTACAGCGCTCTATAGGTCCTATGTAATCATATAGACGGTGCTGTCGATAATAGTGATATTATTATGCATTGATATTGAAGGGTTGACATCTTTTAGTAGTCGTCGTGGCCTAACGGATAAGACGTCCGGTGCATTCATATTGAAGCGATGCACCGGTGTTCGAATCCCGCAGGCGGGTACCAATTTTTCTAATGAAATACGTACTCAACAAATGTTCACGATTGACTTCCACGGTGAAGGAATAACATCGTGTAATAAAAATGAAACCCGCAAAATTATAATTTGCGTAATTACTGGTGGTAGGACCTCTTGTGAGTCCGCGCGGGTGGGTACCACCACCCTGCCTATTTCTGCCGTGAAGCAGTAATGCGTTTCGGTTTGAAGGGTGGGGCAGCCGTCGTTACTATACTTGAGACTTTAGAACTTGTATCTCAAGGTGGGTGGCGCATTTACGTTGTGGATGTCTATGGGCTCCAGTAACCACTTAACATCAGGTGGGCTGTGAGCTCGTCCACCCATCTAAGCAATAAAAAAAAAAAAAAAAAACATCTGTCATGTTCGGGCATATTGTAACTAAATTAAATTGGATAAATATAAGGAATTGAGAGTGGTGGACTTTGAATATTGTTTCTTTGTTTTCAGATGAGATACCTATTATAGGCTTGCTATGTGATTGTACTGTTTGTTACTGTTGTGTACGTTTTAAGTTATTAAAATAATAAATTCTTTGTTTTCAGAGCAACGCCATGTTTATTTTAACTTACAATTCCTATTTATAATTCCTAGTAAATTAAATAGAAAAAGTGTTATAATAATAAAAAAAATATATTATTATAAAAATTAACACATTGGACATTTCGCGCAGACTTACTATAATTTATGCAATAGGTTAGGAACAATTCAGAAGAAAGTAATTTTGTAGAATAAGAACGCTTTTTAGAAATTTGTGTTGATAGTTGTAAAGTCGTCGTGGCCTAAAGGATAAGACGTCCGGTGCAATCGTGTCGAGGGATGCACCGGTGTTCAATTCCCCAGGCAGGTACCAATTTTTCTAATGAAATACGTACTTACAAATGTTCACAATTGACTTCCACGGTGAAAGAATAATATCGTGTAATAAAAATTAAGCCCTTAAATTAAATTAATTAAATTAATTAAAATTATAATTTGCGTAATTACTGGTAGTAGGACCTCTTGTACCACCACCGTGCTTATTGCCGTGAAGCAGTAATGCGTTTCGGTTTGAAGGATGCGGCAGCCCTTGTAACTATACTGAGAGATAAGCATATTTTGAGTAAGAGCGTAAGCGCATACTTTGGTTGCCCAAATTTAATATGTGATGGCCGCCCCACCCAATTTACTGGAAGGGTTTATTGCTTCAAAATGACAGTACTGTTGTGTTTTTGACACGACTGTGTGACAGTGTTTGTTTGCGGGATTTTGACACCGGGATTTTAATATCGTCCTTTACGAGTACACTGGTCATTGATCCTTTATATTCCTGTAGCATGATCTTCGATTTTCTATATGTATTTGTTCTTGTCTCATATATTTTCAAGATACACAAAAAGATCTGGGCTTAGATCATGGAGTCGAAAATTTTATAATTTAAATTCTTCCGCAGAAATTGACATTCACAAGTCTGAAGACTGCCGTTCGGAGTGGGTTGAAATACGAGACGGCTATATGCCCGACGCTCCAGTTTTGGGCAGGTTGTGCGGGTCCGGAAAGGGTCCTATGATGAGGTCTACTGGATCAAGACTCACTGTGGTCTATCAACCGGGATTGAGGCTTAAGCCGCATAGAGGATTCCGGGCGTTCTACGAAGGTACGACTCTATGAAGAATTAAAACGAATACCCTATTAATATAATTATATACTTATAACACGCAGAGTCCTATGTGAAGATTACTTACTATTATATTAATTGATATATTGCCTTTGAGTTATTAATGTTTTTCTGTGGACTTTTACGTTATAACTTTAACATGCTAATACAATTTAATATTCAGTGCATCAACATCATTTATAAAATTTATATTTGTATTTGGCAATGACAGGAGATTGATTTATTTTCGACTCCAAAAGTTATGGATTAATCATATTTTGTTTATTTAAATTTTCTTATTTATCTAATCTTCAATTTTGATTTTTGTTAGCCGTTTGCGGAGGTGATATAGAAGTGGATTCGAATGGACACCTCGAATCGCCGAACTATCCTGACGATTACCAGCCTAACAAACTATGTATCTGGAAACTATCAGTACCACAGGTACGTGAGCAATGATCCGATCGTTTTTACCCAAGAAACGGTGGTACATAAGACACGGATAAATTTTAAAGAACATTATTTTATGTCCGTGAATATTATTAAGAAACTAAGAAAATTTTGTTACCGTGAAGCAGTAATGCGTTTGAAGGGTGGGGCAGCCGTTGTAACTATACTGAGACCTTAGAACTTATATCTCGAGGTGGGTGGCCCATTGACGTTGTAGATGTCTATCGGCTCCAGTAACCACTTAACACCAGGTGGGCTGTGAGCTCGTCCACCCATCTTAGCAATAAAAAAAAAGAAAAAAAAAGAAACATTACTGGTGATAGGTAGCGATTGGGAGCTTCTATGTGTGTATTAGAAGTCGTCGTCGTCTAAAGACACCGCTGTGCTCGTGTCTAGACATATTGCTGATAAGGCATCTTGTGAGCCCGCATCGGTATGCACCACTACCCTGCCTATTTCTGCCGAGAGGCAGTCATACCTTCATGCTTCCAAGCAGAAACAGCCGTTAAGCTCGATAACCGAGAGATACATCCCGTGTATTTTTTTTTTTTTTTGCTTAGATGGGTGGACGAGCTCACAGCCCACCTGATGTTAAGTGGTTACTAGAGCCCATAGACATCTACAACGTAAATGCGCCACCCACCTTGAGATATAAGTTCTAAGGTCTCAGTATAGTTACAACGGCTGCCCCACCCTTCAAACCGAAACGCATTACCGCTTCACGGCAGAAATAGGCAGGGCGGTGGTACCTACCCGCGCGGACTCACAACAGGTCCTACCACCAGTAATAAAGTGTCTCAAGATAGGTTGCATTTACATTATCCATGGTGTCCAGTAGTAAAATATTCATATTTAGAAGAAATTTAAATTCTTTTCCAATTCCAGGACTACCAAGTTGCTTTGAGGTTCCATTCGTTCGAAGTGGAAAACCACGATACATGCTCCTACGACAAAGTCAAGGTCAGAGACGGCGATTCAATGGACAGTCCACTTATCGGAATGTTCTGTGGACATAAGATACCTCCCGATATAAGGTAAGTCTCATCTAATATTACGAATCCAATTGATTTCCCATAATTGTGTTTTTGGTGGTCCAATAGACAACTTTTTAGTACAGACCTCTTCTCGCTACGCTTCTGATCTTACAGTCACCAGAATTCAACTGACAGACATGAGGTCTAGCGTAGTCAATCGTAATAAAAAAGGGCTGAGCAGATTAATTCCCTAATTCTTAAATTTATTTATTTTTTATTTATTTATTAATTTACACACAAAAAAGAAGATATAGTACAGAGTAATAGGAAAATTATATCTTTTTTATTCTAGTATTAATCGAGTATTATGTAGAGTAGGTATTATATATTATTACTCGAGTAATAATGAAGTCTCACCTCAAAAGGTGTGAATGAGTATGAGGTAATTCCCGATCCTGCGGACAGAATGGAAAGCAGTCGACGTCGCCCAAATGCTCACGTCATTTCGGATCTTCCCGATCCACTAACGGTGCTTTTAGATACCTCAAGCACCGGTCATCGTTCTCGTCGAACCCGTCGCTTGCGACGAAGGGCTCGGCGAGTAAATTAACCCACAGACACAGCCCACTGAGTTTCTCGCCGGATCTTCTCAGTGGGTCGCGTTTCCGATCCGGTGGTAGATTCTGCGACACAAGGCTCTTGCTAGGGTTCGTGTTAGCAACGTCGTCAAATTTGAGCCCCGTGAGCTCATCTATTAGTTAAGGTTGAAATAGCCTCAAGGCTATCAGCATAGGTTGGGGGAAAAAAGGGTATGAGGTAAGACGCCCGGTGTTAGCAAATCTAGCGACATGACAAAAACAATGCCGCTGTTTAAATCCTTGTTAAATTTATACATAAATTTAATATTATTTATTATGTATAACGTCTACATATGTTCATATTGTAATAGTTGATATTATAATCGATTATTGTATACTCAAATTTTAGTCGATAAACGATGAACAAGAAGAGATCTATCTATATTTTAGGTCCACGTCGAACAAGCTTCTGGTGATTTTCGAGTCGGACAGCACAGTCCAGAAAGCCGGTTTCTCGGCTACGTTCATGAAGGAATTTGACGAGTGTGCTTCCATCGATCACGGCTGCAGTCACTCCTGCGTGAACACCCTCGGCGGATACGAGTGCGCGTGCGACATCGGATACGAACTCCACTCGGACGGAAAGAAATGCGAAAGTATGTTAGATTAAAAAAAAAAGACATGAGCTTTATTCAGTACTAGCTAACCGGGCAGACTTCGTAGTGCCTGAATCAATAAATAAAAGACCTAAACTATTGTATAAAATAAACTTAAAAAAAACAAAAGGAAGCTGTCCGACGGGGGACACATCAAAGGAAAAACAAAATTGTTTGTTTTTATATAATTCCGAGCATTTTCATATTTTTTCAAACTTTTAAACCGTCTCTGGACTTCCACGAATAATTCAAGCCCAAAATTAGCCAAATCGGCCCAGCCGTTCTCGAATTTTAGCGAAACTAACGAACAGCAATTCATTTTTATATATATATAGATAATACACATAGATTGTACATAGTATAATACATATAATACACATAGGTGTTTCCCGAGTGCTATGACTTGTCCTTATTCAAACGAGGCTTGAGGAGAATACTTAACGGTAGGCAGCGGTTTGGTCCTGCCCCTAGCATTGCTGAAGTCAATGGGCGACGGTAACCACCCACCATCAGGTGGGCCGTATGCTCATATGCCTATAAGGGCAATAAAAAAAAAATTGCTGCTGTATATTGACAGTGGAGTCTGACTCAACCACACATGTACACAATATTGCTAACCACAGGTAAAAACCTAAAACAAAGATCGTAATTGTGTCTAATCTATTTATTTCAAAGCCATTATGAAAAGAAAGCTCTAGAGCATTACGATGCCAAAAAGCAAATATTGATTCCAATTAAAAATGCCTAATTGAAGAGATTAATTAAGCAACCTACTGAAGACTGCAAACTTTGTTAGAATCTTTTTAAGTCATAAACTTTGAGAAACAGCTAAGGTTTCATTTTACAACTAAATTTACAGGTCGTTAACACCTTTATTCGAATTTCACACAAAAACCATTCGTATACACGGTCATATTTTCGAGTCATTCAAGGGGGTACCGTGATATCCTTTTTTTATTTATTCCATAGGTCGTGATATCATCAGGTGGGCCACGACTACGGTAACCACGGTTAAATGGTTGCCAGAGCCCATAAACATCTACAATGTAAATGCCGCTACCTACCATGAGATATAAGTTCTAAGGTCTCAGTACAGTACAACGGCTGCCCTTCAAACCGAAATGCATTACTGCTTCACGGCAGAAATAGGCAGGGTGGCGGTACCTACTGTATATACCTGTATTTAGGTTAGACGAAGAAGAACTGGTATTCTAAGTTGTTTCAGTAAGATAAATGTGCTCATTATCTGATAGACGCATGCGGAGGAGCGCTCTACGGCCCCAACGGTACGATCACATCACCTTCCTTCCCCGAACTGTATCCTCCGTTGAAGAACTGCCTCTGGGAGATAGTGGCACCGCCTCAGCATCGCATAACGCTGAACTTCACACATTTCGACTTAGAAGGAAACCATATGTATCAACAGGTACTTCTAGGTTTATTAAAAGTCTTGTCAACTGGATCCTTGAGTCTTACATTTCACGATCTGTTTCTTGTATAGTTATTTTTAATGGAAATACCTAACGCTAGATCATATTTTGTAGAATGTGAAAGAATGCATAGTCCCTTATAAACCTCGATGAACTTAATAATCGCCGACAGTATCAATATCACTGCTTTCTTTCAGGAATGTGAATATGATAGTGTAACAGTACATTCGAAGCTAGGAGCTGATGTGCTCAGGAGGCACGGAGCGTTTTGTGGGACCGCCTTGCCACCACCGGTCACTTCGGATGGCTCGGTTTTAAGAGTACAGGTAACATTTCTGTTTTGTTTCCATTACGTACTAACTACTCAAACTATTCACGTTAGTTAATCAGGTTTGAAGGCAGACAATTGATTTTTATAGACCCTCATGGTGTCATAAAAATTACCAGCACAGCACAGCATCGCTTCCTACTTCTGAAGGCTTTTTTCAAATCTCATTTCAAGAAGAACATGTCGCAGTTTTCAGGAATTACCGTGGTGGGGATTTCATTACAGATCCGGATGGTACGTGGATATAAAACAGATTGGATTAACGCAATCATCCCAGATGGTATGGATGAACCCTGCGCTGTGGTCAATATAAAGTTAACGTGATAGCATTTGTTGCACTCAGTTTTTTTTTATAATTGTGAACAAATCACGTACGATAATCTGGCCCAAATTTAGGATTCCCTGTGTTATCAGGACCAGAGACTCATAGAGATATTATTAAAGGTTTAAATATATACATATATATATCTATAAGCACCCAGACAAAGAGTAAACAAACCTGTTCATGTTTGCCCGATGTGGGAATCCTGTACCATCGAATCGAGTAAGTTCCTCTTTAACCATTTCTAAATAAATTCTACTTTTAGTTCACATCAGACGGCTCGGTCCACCGGTCCGGTTTCGCTGCAGTGTACTACATAGACGTGGACGAATGCGCCGAGAACAACGGGGGATGTCAGCACGAGTGCCACAACACGCTGGGAGGATACGAGTGCGCCTGTCACAGCGGCTTCACTTTACACCCGAACAAGCACGACTGTAAGGAAGGCGGATGCAAGCATGACGTTACATTACCCCACGGAACTATTTTCAGGTATTTAGTACGAATAATGTGAATTAATAAAGGACGCCTAAAGACGGACAGAGCCTAAAGACATCTGTAACGTAAATGCCGTCATCCACCTCGCGAAATGAGTTCTAAGGTCTCCGTTTTTGCAGTAAAACAGCTGCCTCACCTTTCAAACCGGAACGCATTAGGGCTTCTCGGCAGAAATAGGTAGGGTGGTGGTGCCCGTGCGGACTCAGAAGACGTCCTACCACCAATAATAATTGGGGCAGTGGTGCCAATTAGTAGGAAATCAGAACACGATCGGTACAAAACAACCTAATTACCCTTAAGTTGTTTTATCACGGTTCTACTTATAATGACAAGGGAGAAGTAGTTCGGTAAATGATGCCAGAAATACATATCGTTTAAACTTTCACTTTCGCTACCCTGATCTCCACCTAAACTGAGCTAACAATATTCAGGTTTGTTACAAAATAATATCCAATTTGGCGTTTCTACTTAAACGACAGTCGGGACTAATTTGAAAAAACTTCTATCATTTTACCGTAATAGTGCGTGGCAGCCCACAAGTCATCTCAACATCATTACCATAGTCGGTTGCTCTTGGCAGAGCAGTCGTTGTCATGTGGAATTCTCGTTGCCTTGAGATGTTTTCTTGTTTGCGAACTGAGGCTTGGCGCACGCACTCGTTAAGTGGGGTTTCAGTAAGGTATTCCACCTGATCAGTCCAGCGCATGGGGATTCGTCCACGAGGTCTCTTACCATTGACCCTACCCTGAACAACAAGTTTCTCGATAGACTCTGCTGGCTATCGCGATACGTATCGTATCGTAACGTCTTAACGTAATATCTGAGTTGAAAATATTGAATATCATCACGGCATCACCAAATCACTAGTATTAACTACATAAACTTTGTTATTACAGTCCGAATTATCCGGCCGCGTACCCAGCCAGGAAAGATTGCGTTTGGCAATTCTCTACCACACCCGGTCATCGAATTAAGCTGATCTTCAACGTGTTCGAATTAGAGCCTCACCAAGTAAGCTATTTAATTCTAGATATCAAACTACTACATTTAGTTCACTGTTTATTAGTGTGCATGTGACTAGGAAATGTATGGTAATGGTGGCGTGGTTGGCGTGGACAAGGAGTCGGGTTATGTTGTTCTTCAAGAAAGGTGATAAAACTTTGTTGAAGAACTATAGACCGATATCTCTTTTGAGCCACGTCTACAAGGTCTTTTCCAGGGTCATTACTAATCGTCTCGCCCGAAGGCTTGATGAATGCCAGCCACCGGAGCAGGCTGGGTTTCGAAAGGGTTACAATACCGTAGACCATATTCACACCCTCAGACAGATTATAGAAAANGGGGCGGGACGAATCGCGGAGGAGGGAGTTGTAGCCGTGTTCGTGTACGGCAGCGGTTTTGCCCAGGCCGAGACACTGGGCACCGCCGCCGGAACGAACGCTGGCTTAGCCTGCGACGCAGAGGGTGCCGAGGCTTTGATGTCTGGGCCGGAAGCTCGGAGGCGGTTTTGGCGGGCGACGCGGCGATTTATTTTAGGGGGGACAAAATCCGGAACGAAGAAATTCGACGGAGAACGAAAGTCGACGACATAGCTCTCAAAGCTAGCAGGCTGAAGTGGCAATGGGCCGGTTACATCTGTCGAGCCAGCGACGCCAGGTGGGGGAGGAAAGTCCTCGAATGGAGGCCACGGATGGGTACAAGGAGCGTGGGGCGTCCTCCAACCAGGTGGACTGACGACTTAATGCGCACGGCGGGAAGTCGTTGGATGCGGAAGGCGGAGGACCGCATTATGTGGAAGGCATTGGGGAAGGCCTATGCCCAGCAGTGGGCAGATAAAAGCTGATGATGATGATGATGATGATGATTATCATAGTTCAGTTCTAGCACAAAATGAATAATGAACTCATTCCAATTAATGAAGGAGACATTCGAGGTCCGTGGACAGGTGGAAGTATGAGTAAAGAGCCGACATTTATTTTACAGACTTCTAAAAATCAAAGTCATTAAATAGTTGAAAGAGAATAACGCGATATCACAGTAAAGAAGAGAGAGTTCACTGTTTATTAGTCAACACTTGATGCAAGCAGCGCAGGACCGATTGTTGTGGCGAGGCTTGGGGAAGGCCTATGTCCAACAGTGGACGGCTGTGGGCTGATAGATAGACGTGCTTTTTATTGCGTACACGATTTCACGATTCGCCTACTTTAAAGTAATCACTGGAGACAATAGACATCACAAAATGAATTCGGCCTTGAGATATTCTTGGCTCGAAGTCTCAACTGTATTGTATAAGGACTGGCCTGCCTAATTAAACCGAAACGATTGCTGTTTCACGACAGAAATATGCAGAGTCTAGGTTTGATTTTTATTACACGATGCTATTCTTTCATAGTGGAAGTAATTCGAGAATATGGGCTTAGCACGTATTTCATTTAAAAAAAATTGAAACTGCTTGCGGGATTCGAACTTAAGCATAGTTGCATGGCTGGGTGTGAGTACATCAGGCGTTTTATGCTTTAGGCCACGACGACTTCTATCCTCATTCGAAGCTAATCAGCACAATCTAATAATAATAATAATAAAAACAGGAATGCGCTTACGACCACGTCACGATCTACGACGGAGCTTCGGCCGACGTAAAAACGCTCGGCATATTCTGCGGCAGTAAGCTCCCGCATCTGGTCATGGCATCTCAGAACCAGATGTACATGGTATTCAAGAGTGACGGTTCTGTCCAGCGAAAGGGATTTTTGGCTACGCATTCTACTGGTTAGTGAATATTAAATTGTAAAGTCATAGTTTTAAGAACTAAAGTCACGTGAACGGACTATGAACTTAAAATGTACAATACCGCTCTTAGTTTACGACAAAAAAAAATTCAAGGTTTAAAAATAACTCGAAATACCTGGCAATACGCTATTATGCCGCGATTATAGCAACCTTGTTTGTTGAGCTCCAATCCTCAACGAACTATTGGGAATTCAAATTCGTTATACTCCTCAAATTCGATCATATCTTCGTCAACATTTGCCTCTTGGTCATGCCTTCTTTTTCAATTGACAATTTAATTCGAACACTTTTGGTATAAACATGCCATGAATAATAGTGATATTTTATCTATCTGTAATTTTTACTATTACTATCGGGACTTCTTGACGGGAACGCGAGGAGTGAAGTTGTGTGATTTGTTTTATTTTGTCTACTTAGTGTTTCTTCAGGTTTAAATGTGTAATAACGGTGGTTTATAAACTATTTAATATCTGTGAAAGTGCACAAATGTGGGAAAATGAAACAAAGTTGCTAGACGTAACTTCTAGGGATCCTCCAAAAAGTCCACTAAAAAAATTTCAGTAAATGACCACCATTTTACTGAGGTTATATTTCATTACATACCCCTTATCTCATTTCATTTCATGTCATTCCAGTTGATTAATGTCTCAAATTAATCATCTTCATTTCACTCCATATCATGATTTTTCATAAAAATAAGAATATAAATTAAAATAAGACATGACTTAAAGGTCTTAGTTACCAGGTCATAAAATCCCTTAAAAAAACTATTTATATTACTATCCATAGCATGTGGAGGGTATCTCTCTGCGACGGAAGAGGTGAAGCATCTCTATTCTCACGCGCGCTACGGAGACAACGCCTACGAGTCCCGGGCTGATTGCGATTGGAACATCGAAGCTCCACGCAATCACTTCGTTAAGCTCACCTTCCTGACCTTTGAGCTGGAGAGGGAAGCGAACTGCAGATACGACTACGTCCAAGTGTTTGGTGGTTTGGGAGGAAGCGGCGGGAACTACGGAACGTTCTGTGGTATTAAGGTACGCTGTGGAGGATAAGCTTAGAATTGGACTTAGATTGAGATGTTATCAGTGTGCTTAGTGCGAGTCTTGTAACGTTCTCGATAGCGAGCAAGTTAGCGTAAATTTGTATGCAGTTTGAACAGCGCCCCTAGCGGTAAACGTAGGCAAACGTTCCAACTGCATAGAAATTTGAGTACACTTTTACGCTATCGAGAACGTTAAATAACTCGCACTAAGCACACTGGTAAACACTTCGTTGGTAATCGAATATCTGGCCGATATATTTGTCCTTTGATATATTTTGTATAAAGAACATTTTTTTAAGAATATTTTACATTTGTGGATAGATAAAAAAGTTACGAACAAAATCGACCACGAAATTTTAGAGTTTTTTTTATGTGTTCCCAACACAAATTATCGAAACACAATGTTTTTTTTCTTTCTCACTCACTATGATGATTAGACCTTACGACTTGCTTTAAGCTTTCGCGAAAATCTACGTTAAGCATTTTATACAATATTACATTTAACAGGCTTTACCACGATTTCATAATTTCATGAGCTTCTGATATTTGGGTAATACTGCAAACGCCATGATCACTCGTGTATATACATTATCGAGATGAGTCATCGAGTTCTAGTAGTGACACACAAAAACTAACTAGAAAGAGAAGTAAACAGATTTGTCTGCTCCTAGAGTCTTGCCCTCAGTTTTCAGTCTACCCGTGATCACGACGTCTGCAACCCCGATTATCAGGAACTCATTAAATTATGTGAAAATCTTGGTAAGAGTAAGATTGGTAAGAACTCGTTAAATATTATTATAATAATGTGTATGTATAGGAACTTGCTCATAGTAAGCCTATTGATAGCACACACGACGAGGTCATCGAACTTCTTTCTTAATAAGATCTAAGGATGTAGACTGATGAACCGAAGATAATACTGAACTTGTTTGTTTCCAGATGCCACCTGAAATCGTATCAACCTCAGAGGCCTTACTAGTCAGATTCCGTACCGACGATTCCTTGGTCTTCAAAGGCTTTTCGGCATCGTATCAGATGGTAAAACCGACTTGGAGCGACGAAGACAGCTTGGAAGGCGGAGAATATGAAGCTGAGGAGGAGGACGAGCGCATGCCTCCCCTGGTGGTGGGGCGCAGGGGGCTCCGGACCCCGGTGGCGCGGTTCGTGCGGCGACCCACGTGACGCTGGCCGCTACCCCGCCACCCGAGACACAGGCGGCCGCATCGCACCCTCAACAATCGATCTTAATCGCGACGGATTTAACGGTGTTGTCTGGAATGCTTTTTTTTTTGGGAATATTTTGGTTTTTATTGAATTCGGTCAAGTTAGATGCTCACAAATTAACCGGATAATGTCCTAGCATAACCCCTTGGGAGTAAAATAACACTTTTATTACTTTATTACTGGTGGTAGGGCCTCTTGCGAGTCCGCGCGGGTAGGTACCACCACCCTGCCTATTTCTGTCGTGAAACAGTAATGCCTTCGGTTTGAAGGGTGGGGCAGCCGCTCTGACTATACTTGAGACTTAGAACTTATATCTCAAGGTGGGTGGCGCATTTAGGTCGTAGATGTTTAAGGGCTCCAGTAACCACTTAACACCAGGTGGGCTGTGAGATCGTCCACCCATCTAAGCAATAAAAAAAAAAACATAATAACTCGTTTTCTTGTATGTTCGAGTGGAATTCACTAATCGATTTAAAACTACACATCTGATCAGCTCAAGACTTGACATTTGGACTATTACGCGGAATCGGATAATAACGCAAAAAAAATGCGGAGTTTTTTTTTTGTTTTTCAAAATGTGTTTTTTTTTTATGATTTACATATTTCTTAACTGCATCACTATAATCCCAGATGATGCAATAGGGATGTTGTTATTAAAAAATAATGTTTGTCAATAGCGCGTGTAGCAAATCTACATGGCACATAAATCAATTACAAGACAGCCAGATTAGGAAGTATTTGACTTGATATTTGAGTGTTCAAATTGTTTTTCTTTGAAAATTTCATTTATGTGCATAATAATATTGTATGTAGTAGGTATTTTGGATTTAATTTTTTAATAATTTTTTTTTTTAGTTTGCGTTATGGAGGGTGGAAGTAATAAGGAGGATATAATATAGTGTGCGTTGAAAGGGAACCAATTATGGTGGCGCCACAGTAGCATGTGGAAAGATTTAAAAAACAGCGCCATAAACTATTAGAGGCTCTTAATATTAAATTAAGAAGGAAAGAAACACTTCCTACGTAAATAGTTATTAAAAACAAATAGTTGAGGTTGAAAAATACTGCAAATCTCATAACTACACGAGTCCCGAAAAAAAATTAAATTTTTCAACCCAACACGCTTCACTCTGTTTCAAACTGCTATATTCATATCATTTCCACTTTCTATACTAGCGCTGTAACGGTGAGTCTGCCTAGAGAATAACTTGCTGTTTACAGGTGGACACTTTTTGGAACGAAGTTCCTTATGACACGATGCGGAGGGGTACCCTAACCGGGAAAAAACGTCCGTAACGTAAGATTTTTATTAGTAATGCACACAGTGTACGACTTAACTTTGTAAAAACGTACAAAAAATAACATATTTTTTTATCATTCATTGACCACGATCTCAGAGCGTTCGTTTGCGCAATACACTAACTCTTATGCAAACAACCGTGAATGAAGTGTACCACAATAAGTTCGCACGTTACCGAATGACCGTGGGTTGTTGCGAAACCTCCAGTTTTATTTTCTTTATACCTCGAATAAAACTTAAAATTAATATTTTTATAATAAGGAACTTCGTTCCTATCCGGTGTCCCACGACACCACACATCTTTTTTTTAACTTGTCCCCTATACAAGACGATCCTCCTTACTTCTACCCTCCATAGTTTACGTTTGACATTGATGTGGTCATTTCTCTCGCTAAGAAAATTCACAATTACGTTTGCGACTGAATTATGTAAATAAGCGATCGATCGCTCCTAGTCTAGTTTAGGTACATTACTTAAATAATCATTTACCAAAGAAACTCGGGTTACATATTAATTTATTTTCATCGCAAGCGCGATCCAAAACATTCGCGATTTTTACCAAAGAAAAATGTACTTTAATATTCCAATAATGCTGATTTATAAAATAATGTTAGTTTATTATAAACGCACATACTCAATAATATAAATAATAATAATATGCATTTTATTGTAATAATGTTTTTTTTTTGTATGAATCGTACGTAGCATAGGATATCGTGACAATATGTAATGATAAGACGTAATAGTGTTTGTTAAATGTTTAGGTGTTCAATTCCATATCAATTGAATGTTAATATTAATATGTATTGATGTATAATATCTCATATTATCAACTAAGTAATAATCATATTGCCTTTATGTTTTTTCATCCAACTGAAAAAGAGATAAAGACTTGTTTCTTTAACTGTTTTCCAGTTTTGAGCATTTTTGCAATTCGCAATAAGGTTCATTTTTCGACGAAGCTTAGAGTGTTGTCTGCGGCTCTTAACATCAATCAGCTATCAGTCATTTTCCTGTGCAAAACCAAAAATATAAACAATAAATAGCAAGATGACCATCCAAAAGCCGGAAAAACAGCAAATAAAGTAGGAAATTATGTGTTCCAGTTTGAAAGTTGAGACATCGGTTAAGCCATTTAATTGAGACTTCGGCCTCATATCTCAAAATAGGCATTCAAGTCGTGATGTTTATGGACTTCACACAATCTATTAGAAACTTGTCGTTTTTTTTTGTTTTTTTTTGTAGATTCAAATTTGCCCGACATTACGTGCTGTTGCAACTAAAGAAGCACAAATGAACTGTTACTGTGTGCACCAACAATCATCTTCGTTTTCGGGAAACAATATAAAATATTATCAACCTACATACGTCCACTATTAGATATAGGCCTGCAAAACTCACCATAAATCGGTTTTTTTCTGCCAACATCCAGTAAACAAAACATTGTGTTCTTTATTATAATTTGCGTAATTACTAGTAGTAAGGCGTCTTGTGAGCCTGCACCGGTAGGTATCACCGCCCTGTCTATTTTCTGTCGTGAAAAAGTACTGCGTTTCGGTTTGAAGGACGGGGCAGCCGTTATACTATAAAACCGAGAATTCAAACTGGCGTTTCCAGCGATATTTACACAGTCTATGTGCTCTGGTAACCACCTAATACTCGATGAGTCGTGATCTCACCCAAGCAACAGCAGACCTACTAAGGTCCAGTGATAGCCTTATATAAGGGTTACTTTTATACCATTGACGGGTTAACTGTGTTCCAGAGTCTATAGATCATGATATAAATACCTTCACCCACATTAAGACCGGGATGTAGATTTGAGTGCAGCAACAGCTCTCCGAACGCTTTGTTGCCTAAATTGTTGATCGGTAGGCAGTGGCTTGGTTCTGTCCCTGGCATTGCTGATGTCCATGAGCGACGGTAACCGCTCACCAGCAGATGGGCCGTATGCTCGTCTACTTAAGCGGCAATAAAAAAATAAAACATAATGTTAGCACGAATAATAGCGCACTTTTAAAATTGTTTTACGGGTTTTGTTTTTTTATTACATAATCCTTCAGCCACGGAAGAACATAGTGTAGATGTTTTAGGAAAATTGGTATCTATGTGAGGAAGTTTAAATTCGGTAAAATCACATCGCTTGATGCTAACAAAATAAAAAAGAAAACACCACTAATAGCAAAGTTATTAATGTGTCCAGTTTTCCTTCGTACTCTGTGGATGTGTGTAATATGGCCCTTTTTTAATTTTCGCGCCAAGCTACCAGTTGACGATAGAGGTAAACAAACATTTCATAAATAATTACCTACACACAAATGTAATTGAAACAATAATTTTCTTAAGAGTTTATTTACAAAATGATAAAAAATTAAAATTAAGAAGAATGCTTGTTACAAGTACGTACCTAATATTGTAAACAGCGCGCCATTTTGTATATTTTTATCATAATAGGTACCTACCTAATTAATTTTGATCGCTCTTATTGCATCGATCAAAATTCTTTCATAGATTTAATATAAGTATTTTAACAATTATGTCCAGGAATTGTTATGTACAAAATTTTATTGGGTGTTTTGCCTTAAACAAAAATGGTTTTGCCAGAGAATAAGACAGAATTTCCAACAATGCCTTCCATAAATGCAATTTGGATTACATTACTGATTTACTTAACCTAATTCACTTCTTCCATTAAGTTAGTCTGGATGGTTCATCATATTAATTAATTTAGGTACTTAATTTAAATGATAGTCGATAGTTTAATATAATATTTTGCCTTAATACGAATCTGAGGATCGACCATCAAAACGAACCTTAATTGTGCTTATTCCTACTTAAGTATCAGTATCTTAAATTGCAAAATTTCAGTCTACTAAACCGTTGCTACTCTACCAAAACGTTATAAAACAACTCAAAATTTACACAAACTCAAAATTTAAGTATAATTGAACTTTGTTAGGTGTAAGCGCCATTAAGTAACGATTTAATAGATAACTTCATTTTAGTGAAATGTGTTCGAATCAAGAGTCTCAGATTTATAGAAGATTAATTATTTGTGCCAAAAATCCACTTGTAGCCAATGTTAAGTACTTATAGCTACATTAACATTTTGTATCTTAACATATTTAGGTATACGTATGTGTAATGTAGAAACGTTATTTTATTAAAAGCCAACGAAAATTCAAATGTTGTTTTATTATTTATATTATTAAGCGTTTACCTTCTTAAATTACATTGTTTTTTAATGTTCATTTAAACCTTAGACATAAACCAATTAGAACTAATAAAATTATCTAGAACTAATAAAATTTAAGACTGTATGTACTCTTTTCAAAATCGAAGGGTGGGGTAGCCGTTGTAACTATACTGAGACCTTAGAACTTATATCTCAAGGTGGGTGGCGCATTTACGTTGTAGATGTCTATGGGCTCCAGTAACCACTTAACACCAGGTGGGCTGTGAGCTCGTCCACACATCTAAGCAATAAAAAATAAAAACACTAAAATGAGTTTTTTTATACTGAGAGATACTGAAAATGAAAATTCTGAATTTTGATAGAATACCCGTCCGGGCGTCGCTGGAATAGCACTTAGGCTAGCAGCGAATATATAGGAAGAAAAGAAAAAAAAGTAGAGTATTATGGGACTACTTAGTCTTGTACTCAGCATTATTCAATATTAAATTATATATATTTCACTATTACAAACAGCCAATTTTCGTACCTATGTTAGCCATTGTACTAACACAATATATATAAATATTTTTATTAAATCACACACATTCGTTTGGCCTCATTGAATTCTTCTTTCTGAATTCGTTTTACTATGAGAACCGGAGATGATACCCGATATAGGTACACACATAAGACACTAAACACGTACAGACCTATTCGTCAGACTAATGTTTGTCCGATTGTGAATCGAACCTATGACCCACGGTACAGTAGTCAGAGGGACTAATTATTGCCCCATCGTGTCAATCAATAAAAAAAGGCAACGTAGTTCACGTAATGGTATTCATTGACTAATAAGATTGGGGGTCGGACGCTCACTTACTTATATTACTTATTAGCTTATTTAAAAATATAAAAGTTTAAGCGGAGTTTTGATTTTTTAAAAGTAAATGTTATTATTTTTACAAAAGAAATATCTTGAGTTGACTTCGGCCATAGATGTCTTAGCTTTCAGCCTAAAAGAACAAACTGTCAAATCGAGAAGGTCACGGTAACTGCCAAAGTCAAAAACATTTTATTGTTTTGTCATTTTATCATTTGAAAAAAGTGAGGTACCGTACATATTCGTACGTAATTTATTTGTTGAAATACTCATGCATTTTGTGACCCAATTAAAATACAAATAAATTATAGAACGAAAAAACACGAGTCAAGTAAAGATGTCTGCATTAGTATTCAAAATTAAAAGTAAAAACGGACAGCAAGTTTTGAAAGATTTGACCTCAGAAAGTACTGTGGGCGAATTGAAGATGTTTTTGTCCAGCATATCCGATATTAGCATTGAAAGAGTTAATATATTATGCGGGTACCCTCCTAAGGCATTAGACACGAGTGATAATAGTAAAACATTGAGTGAATTAGGACTAAAAACTGGTGAAACTTTGATTGTGGAAGAAAAAGCTGTGACCAAGATTAATGCGACGCAAACCGAGACACGACCTTCCCAGAACGGAGTAGAGTCTCATGAAACAATAGAATCATGTCGACCTGGTATATTAATGAAAAAAGTAGTTCCTTCTGATAATTCATGCCTTTTCACTAGCATAGGTAAGAATCTTACTTATCTTTACTCTATGAATCGATATTACTCTTTGTATGTAGTATAATGACCTTCAAGGGTGATCCCTAAAGTTTATTTAAATAATTGTAAAACAGAGGGATAGGAATTAGATATGATATGAAATGTCCAATAGAGCTTTATTTTGAGTGAGTTGTCATAGTATGCTTATTCATACACATTTTAAATAGAATGTGTACTATATATAGTAGGCAGTATATTTTCAATTTTAATGAAATATACTATTACTAGAAATACTGTAAAAGAATATTCCTATATTTGACAAATATTATTTTATAACTACTATCTTTTAAATAAAAAAATCAACAGTCTAAATAGTGCTTTGTGAGCTAAAGTTGTAGTCGTTGTGGCCTAACGGATAAGACGTCCGGTGCATTCGTGTTGAAGCGATGCACCTGTGTTCGAATACCGCAGGCGGGTACCAATTTTTCAAATGAAATACATACTCAACAAATGTTCACGATTGACTTCCACGGTGAAGGAATAACATCGTGTAATAAAATGAAACCTGCAAAATTATAATTTGCGTAATTACTGGTGGTAGGACCTCTTGTGAGTCCGCGCGGGTGGGTACCACCACCCTGCCTATTTCTGCTGTGAAGCAGTAATGAGTTTCGGTTTGAAGGGTGGGACAGCCGTCGTTACTATACTTGAGACCTTAGAACTTGTATCTCAAGGTGGGTGGCGCATTTACGTTGTGGATGTCTATGGGCTCCAGTAACCACTTAACACCAGGTGAGCTGTGAGCTCGTCCACCCGTCTAAGCAATAAAAAAAAAAAAAAAAAAGCTAAAGCTTGGACTACGGATCTGTCAGTATGAATTTCCTAAAACTTATACATTATTAGTGAAATTGTTTATTTAATCTGAAATTTAATGCTATTCCTAATAAAAAAGGGAGATTGCAGGTGTGAAAAATTAAAAGAACGTATATTTTTTAAATTTTTCATACATATAATTACATTCCAGGTTTTGTTTTAAATGGTAGCATAGACACATCAGTACATACATTAATGAGGCAAATAATAGCTATGGAGGTGGCCAGTGACCGCGACACATACAATGAAGCAATGCTTGGCAAACCAAACGCTGAATATTGCGATTGGATACAGCAGCCCAGCTCTTGGGGAGGAGCGATTGAGGTAATAGTCAGGCATAATGTATCCATTAAAACTTTCTCGGCTATTAACATTATAAACACTTCTTATAATGATCTTTACATTTAATGAGTTTCCGATAGTAAGTGGATATTATTGGGGTGAGTCATCAAGTTTCAGTGGTAACATAATGGAAATGGTCTATAAAGAGAGTACATTGATTTGTATGCTCTTAATATCCTACCTGCAACTTTCATTCTATCTATGGTCATGGTGCTCGCAATAGTGCTAAAATATCACCTTACTATAACATAAATTAAAATCATGTAATTACTCATAGCCTAGTTCAAAGTACTTATTGCTAATACACAATCAATATTTCCTTGTTATTCTTCGAATAATAAGGTGAAATTGCATTTCTGAAATGCATAATATGAATGTACTTAATATTGAAGTAATTTGTTAAGGTTTACTGGTGATGGATGAGTTTTAAGGCTTGTGGGCTACCAAACTACAATTCCCGGGGTCTTAAAACTATCAATGACTTAAACGGCAAATTACTTATTCATATGTAATACCCACCCTATTCACTATGAATGATACTAAATAATAATTAAGTTGGTTACATATTATTTGGACCTTGTTAAAGCATGTTGATAATATTGAACTTGCTAAAGCATTTGATTGTGACATGCTTATGCCATAACAAGTAAGTAATTATTTGTTTAAATTAATTCACAATAATGATGCATAATTTGACAGACATTCCAAATATTACTTAAAATCATTACACAATTTGAATATGAGTTTGCACGGCTTGTTTTATTTTGTATCAGATGAACTATGGACTTAAATAAATAATCATTATGAAACATTCTTATAACTTTTAAGAACTATCTATATGGTACATTTGCTGTTGATTTTTCCATTTGTGTTATTTGAGTTTTACTTTCTTTTTTTATTGCCTTTGTAGGCAGACAAGCCCACTCAATCATTAACCTGTGTGGGCATCATCGCATCGATTTATAATATGTAGGAAGTACACTAAATTAATCAGTCCATAGATATATAAAGATCTATCAGCAAATGAGATGATACAATATGTTCAATTCTGCCCTGAATGTCTCAATGGCCTCGGGACATATCAAAATCTTTATAAGTGCCGATATCTGTGAGGTTCACTGTCGAGGCACATGCACTTAGATAAAAGTCTCCGAATTTAATAGACTTATATTTTACTTATTTACATTTAGGAAGCTCTCTATTTGCGAATGAAAATCTTTCCAGGATGGGTGGCGCAATTTTCGATATTAGTGCGGACAAACAAACAAAACGTGTATTTGGAGCTTGCCCTATTATTTATAACGAATTCACTGCTCTTGTTTCCAGGTAGCCATTTTATCTCGATTTTACGGTTTAGAAATGGCGGTGGTCGACACTCTAAATGCGATCATCAACAGATTCGGCGAAGATAAGAATTATGGGCAGCGCGTCTTTCTGCTCTTTGATGGAGTTCATTACGATCCACTCTATTTAGAACAATCCGACGTAAGTCAAATCATATTTGTATGAAATAATAATGAACACTAGCATTACCATTACTATTGTTTTTTTTTTTTTTTTGCGGAATACCAACATAATCACTGATAGAAAAAGGTTTAGACAGATTTGGAAGTTGGAAGCAGGAACCCATAGACACAGCCCACTGAGTCTTTCGCCGGATCTTCTCAGTGGGTCGTGACTCCGATCCAGTGGTTGATTCAGTGTTAGCATATTCTTTCAGGTTGAGCCCGTGAGCTCACCTACCAGTTACAACATAGCTGGAATAATCCCTTTAAGCTACCAGTAAATAGGTAGGGGAAAAAAATCAAAAGCTACTGGAAAAAAATTTAGGACAGACTCGTACTTAATTATCTTGTATTGGCCTATTTATTTAAAGATAATTTGATATTTATTTAGAGTGCATTCGAATACTTTATCGCGGACATAGCAGGAAAATACTCACATAGATTGCTTAGGTAGGTAGGTATTGCGGTAGGCAGCGGCTTGGCTCTGCCCCTGGCATTGCTGAAGTCCATGGGCGACGGTAACCACTCACCATCAGGTGGGCCGTATGCTCGTCTGCCTACAAGGGCAAAAAAAAAAAATTGGTCCTTCATTGCGGAATAATAAAAAAATTGGGCATTATGTTTGTGACGTAATGCTGTTAAAGAAAAGAAAGAGAGAAAAACACTATCAAAGGACACATCACCAAATTAGTAAAAGTTGACAATTTCGATAAGAATCGTGGTTACACTTTCTTTTATGGTCCGTCGATTTTTGGGTCTGGGTGGGGGTGGGGAGAGGGAGGGGGCAAGGGCTTACACCCTGCACCATCCCCACGCGGAGCCCCATGGCTATGAAGATATCCACGGTTAATGTTTTGAGGCTAGAATAGCACTATTAGTTAGTAGAAATAGGATAAAAATTTCAATTATGGTCCATCAATTTTTGAGTTGACGAGGGACAGGTGTAAGGACTTACCTTCTGTACTGTAAGTTTTTTTTCTTTTGTGGTACCAATCTATGATCAACAATTTTTTTTTTCAAGAAATCTTTGTTCGGACTTGTACAACTAAACATGCATATTTTGCCGCCGCAGTGAAAATATCACGAGTCGACTAGATACCACGCTGTATATCGTACAGCTGATTGTGTTAACTGTGCTACGGAAAGCGACTTCGCTGTTATTTCAATGTAACAGGAACTTCGATCTTATGTCTCAAAGTATAAAGTACATCTTGGGATGCATTCGATTGTGGTGTCTATAGTTTCACTAACACTTCCTACGCATCAAAATGGATATTAAATTCAGAAAAGGAATACACAGACATCTGTGTGCTTAGTGCGATTTTTTAACGTGCTCGATAGCGTAAAAGTTAGCTCATGTTTGTATGGAATGGGATCGTTTGCCTACATTTGCCGCTAGGAGCGCTGTTCCAACTGCATATAAAATTGGGCTAACTTTTACGCTATCGAGAACATTAAAAAGCTCGCACTAAGCATACTGATATAAAAATCTATTTAATCAGGGCGGACTTCAAACGATATTCCCGGCCGAGGATATGGAGGTTTACCGGGAGGCGGAGCAGCTAGCTCACGAAGCGAAATCCTCGAGACAGTTCACTGACCTTAACAAGTTCACGCTGAAATGTATGATTTGTGACAAGTTCCTGACCGGGCAGGCGGAGGCGCAGAAACACGCTAAAGAGACAATGCACACTAACTTCGGGGAGGTCTAGCGAATAGTTCACTCGTAGTACAAACGAGTTGCGATATTTCATAATATTATTATTGTTTTGGTTACATAACACCCGTGTCCGCATATATACGTTTTGAAATGTATTTTAAGAACCGCCGTGAAAGGGCGGACTTATGATTTTGAATATTAAATAAAGTTTGTGATTGTTAATTGTATATTTACTTTTGACTCGGCGTGATTTGATTGAACGTTTCTTTGTTTATGTTTTAAATGTCAGAAAAAATGAAATGTGACGTACATTTTTAAACAACAATAAAGTATATTTTATTTAAGTCAATAGAAAATTGATGATTTACAGCAAATTATCAATAAATTTATCTAAGAAGTTCTAGTAATTCGTTGGAATTTATTACTAGAATTTCAGTTATAGCCCGTGTTTTATGAACAGCTGATGAAGGTGGGTGTCGCCATCTTTGTTTTAATACCGATTGATCGAAACTATGGAGGGTAGAGGTAAGGAGAACCGTCTTGTATGGGAGAAACTTGAAAAAGTGTCCCACTTTCAGCACTAAATAATAGTTCAAAAATCCTCCAGAATGGCGCTAGCATAGTCACAGGGTATGGTATGAATTGAGCGGTTCTTAACTGATTGAAGTATGCTGAGTTAGGAAATTTAATAGTGTAATAATGACTAGAGTAGTTAGTGACAGTGTGTGACAGCTTTAAATAAAATACTTTTTGTGATTTTGTAGTGCTGACAGTTCTTTCGTCCTTTTTTTATTTTTCTATCTCATTCTAACAACTTTCAGCGCCTTTTTTTTAATTTTCCCGGTTGCTACTGTAGGGCCACCCTTATTTAGCAGATTTTAACGGACCCTTTTTCATAACAGAGACGGTACTCCTTACCTCGACCGTCCATAATCGCAACCCATATCGAATAGACATGGAAAGTTTTTTTTTAACGCAACGAGTTTCATGTTTCATTAAAAAAACGATTTTAAAATAGCTGTTCGAAAATGAGAAAATTAACGAAACATTTTCTAAACAAAACTTTTCCGGTATCATCGATATTTCATTTTTAGTATGACATTAAATCTGTTCATCGCCAATTTCCATACTGCTTATTTACTTACGCAAGAAAGAGAAGCAAACAACTCTTTTTTTTTTTTAAATTGTTAAGTACGAAGACACAACTTACATAATAATATGAAGTTAAGCCAGCCAATAGCTTAATAAATAGTATGATTTTTTCTGTCCTCGAATTTTAAAATTACCTACCTAACTAGGTACATTCAAAACGTAACTTTTTTGTGACTATTTGATATTTATTCTACACGTATTTAATTTCGAATAATGCGAGAAAACTCGGAAACATATAATTCATAAAACGACCGAACATCACGTTTTTGTACTACAGACGGCCAAATTATTCGAGACACTTCTTTAAAACAGTAATTCTTTGAGTCGGCCCTATGCGATTGCAGCCTTGTTTTATTATTCGTCTTTCTTTTGTTTTTCTTCAAGTTGTACTAAGATACGTTGCAAATAGCTTAACATAAGACTGTTCCCATCGATGTTCGTAACGTGATTGTGTGATATTCAAACGACATGCTTTTATCGCACACAATTCAACCGCGTTGAATTGCTCCGATATTAATTTAATACAAGGTGAGCTCGTCTACCCGTCTAAAATTAATTTATTTTTCAAAACTAACGGCTTAATTTATATACTCTTAAATGAATTAAATCATATCAAAATAGGCACAGATTAATAATCAACAAATACATTTTTTTCGCGGACAAAATAGTCGGCAGAGGCAATCGCAGATGTGTTGAAGATAATTTCATATTATCTCGGCGGTAGATATAAATTTTTGGCTTGCCTAAATGATTTTAAATGATTTAATTTAATTTCCAGATGATTGCGTTTATCTTTCAGTGTCTAATTCTTGCGAATTCAGTAACCAGCCAGTACAAAAAATAGCTTTCCAAACAAAACTAAACAAGTGTTTCGTTCAAAATTAATTGCACTCAAATTCGACATTGAATATTCATGTCCTTATTACCAATTGCTCTAACGAGTTAAGAAACGATGCCTTAACAAAAAGCATTTTTTTTTTTGTAGAATGACAGAATATTGTCGATGTTAAACGTCATAGCATTTTAGCGGGAAATTGCAAATTTTTTAATTTATTCTATGAAGATAAATTAAGAATAAATTAAAAAAGAAACCTCTTCAATCGTACCTATCAAACGTATAACAAAATTTTCAAACGCTATAATAATATTAGATTTACGTAAACATCACAAGTTTTAACTCAGAGACTCGAATGAATATACAATGAAAACCAAAAAAACAGTGGACACAATTAGACGATAAATAGTGTAATGTTATTGTAGTTTATTATTATTTATATATTATAGTTTTTTTTAATTATACACTGATAGTAATTGTTAAATTATTTTAACTGTTTTATAGATTCTCAAAATGATAATCGGAACGTATTGTTCTGTCGCTTGAATTGTCAAAAGTGCTTTCGAATATTATTATAACGTATTGGGTTTTCAAAATGGCCAATTGCTTTTTATATAAAATAAGGTATTTAAATATAAAAAAAGTAATGAAATTTAATAATGATTAAATTTTTTACTGTTGGTATACAACATAGCTTATTCTGAAGTCGTGCCGTCGTATTTCGAGTGTTGAACGAAGAAATCAATTTTAATAAATTTGGTGTAATTATTAGTGATATGGTATATTGTGAGCCCGTGAGGGTAGGCGACATTCTGCCTACATCGACAATCGCTTAATACAATAGCGATTTCGACCTCACTCAACAGCAAGCGGTCCGAGAGCGCATTTATAGCCCATTTACAGCAATAAATAAAGTTAAAACGAAGTCCACTATTAGTGTAAATACAAATCTTAATTAAAATAAAATTATTTTGCCTATTCAGACTTACATAAATTTCTGACGACGTCCCAAATCCACTATAGGTACCTCACCGAAAACAGTTGGCAAGACCGAAAGTGAAAAGAATCGCTCAGTTCGATCGTTAACCGTAAAACAGGCGACTGATGAAAGTAAATTTATTCAGAAGATAAAATTAATAGACCTAAACATTATGATAGACAGAGAGTGCATTATAGCAAAATATGACATCAGATTAAGAACACATTTTACTTGCAGTTATTCTAATAAATATGTAACGAAGCTGTATTTCCAAAGCAAGTTTACTCATATTTATCGTCAGACTTTTAAATTTAAATTTAACTATATTTTGTTCTGTTGCTAATTTGCTAGACGCTTTCAAACATGGTTTGATTTCCTCAAATCCAAACCTTGTCAATTTCGAAGTAAAGATATAATAAGGGTATAAATATCCGGTCACGACAAAGAGATTGTATTATTCTAGTTATGCTCGATTTAAAAACTTCAGTATTTTATTAATAAATTAAAAGAAGCAATATTGTTAAAGTAATAGATACATCTATGGTCTATAAGACAATTGAGCTCAGCAATTTAGAATTATGTCACTTAGTACACAATCGGTCGATGGTATAGTCTGATTATATTATATATTTCCTATGAAAATGTTAAACGCATTATTATTTACCGTGTTTGTCTTAAAATATCTAGATCGATTATAGGTTGTATGTAAATATGAACATTTTAAAGGATGTATATATATACATTTAAACATTATTTAATAAATTGGCAATGACGTGTCTGTCAACAGAAACTATAGCTTGCACCGAAAAGTCATGCAAGTCGAGCGTTGGTAAGAGATTCTGGAAAGCGTTGTCTATGTCATCATTAATCAATTTGTGGTACTGGTGGTAGGACCTCTTGTGAGTCCGCGCGGGTAGGTACCACCGCCCTGCCTATTTCAGCCGTGAAGCAGTAATGCGTTTCGGTTTGAAAGGTGGGGCAGCCGTTGTAACTATACTGAGACCTTAGAACTTATCTCAAGGTGGGTGGCGCATTTACGTTGTAGATGTCTATGGGCTCCAGTAACCATTTAACACCAGGTGGGCTGTGAGCTCGTCCACCCATCTAAGCAATAAAAAAATAAATAAAAAAATTGTATGTACGTCTTTTTTAAGACAGAATATATCGCTTTTTAAGTTGACTCTTCTAATGCTCGATCTACATTATTCGTCAGTACGAGTTGATATATTTTTACACATGTAACATATATAAAATATATATAAAGTAAATGGATAAACTGCCTTATCTTTTTTAATCCAAAATTATAACCTATAACGGTGCAGTAATGAAATATGATAAATGTTAAGTGATGTTTTAAGACGTGATTGATCTACTAAATGGCATGCGAAAAGGACTAATAGAAAAACTGGTTTACGATTACAAATATGTATGGAGAGAACAAGAAAATATTTATTTCGCTCAAATTCAAAATAATGAGATTTACTAAAAATTGTAATTGAATAAAAATTTACCAAATAAGAAATTTATTAAAATTATGTATTATACAAATCACTTTTGTAACACGTAACAACAATTAATGAAATGTCGAATCTAAAATTGTATTGTTAAATCACAGGTGATGCATAGTTTTTATTGGAATCAGTTGAAATTTTTTATAGATCCTAACGCAATTTGGTTTTGTTTGAAATAAACATTTCATACCAGAAATTTTAACAGTTAAAATAAAGAAATTTTGGCAACATTCATTTCTTTTTTACCTTATAATAATAGCCTTTATTCAGACAGTATTTCATGTACATATCTTAATTTCTTTTTGTTAACAATTTTATTTTTATGTATTTTATATATCAAAGTCTTATCTATATCCTTAACTATTTAACATCGATAACCCCGTCTGTATGTCATTTATTGACAAAGGCCTCCTCCAACCTTTTCCATTCCTCTCTGTCTTTGGCAGTTCTTGTCCATAAACCTCCTGCTACGGCNGATGTTGTGTTATTTTGGTTCCGGGTGTCGGTGCTATTTACAAGTTTTTTGGTAGTTCCGATAGTGAAGCAGATCTTCCTCTTTCAACATAGTTAAGGATATTAGGTCTTAGTATATCTTTTCCTGTAGTTTTGGTCCCTGTGTTGCTTTGTGTCTTGAGTACAGCAGTTTTCTTTTGATTTGAAGAGTTTGGCGAGCCGGACTCTTCTCTTTTTCGTTTTTCTGTGTTGTTGTCTCTGGTTTTCTTTATTACTAATTTATCATATTTTATGAACGCAACATTTCCTTTCTTCTTTTCTTCTTCTACTTGTATCTGCAGTTGCTTGCGTTTTTCTAGCACTTCTTTGGTATAGTCTTCTTTGATATATGTTCCTTGCGGAAGATTTGACTTATTTCGCAATATCAAGTGCTTTTTCCATAGTGTTGTAATAGTGACTACGACTGGGCGGTTTTTGTTGTTGACCTGTTTTCCAATTCTGTATATTTTACTGATTTCATTACTATCCAGCTGTGTTCCCGAGTCCACTATGAGATCTTTTATGCAGTCTACAAGCTCACATTCAGTTTTTCCTATTTCTTCTATCCCAAAAAATACTAGATTGTTTTTCCGTTTTTCATCTTTCAAAAACTTCACTTCCGTTTCTAGTTCAGAAATTTTGGCTTTGAGTATACTATTTTCCGTCATGATAAGTTTCATCTTTTCATCAAGCGCTTCCATTACATTTTTCGTTACAGAAGTTGTAATAACAAGTGTTTGATTGTTGAGTTTCTTATCTAGTATTTCTATTAATTTTTCCATATTTTTTTCCTCCATTTTATGGTTGTTTTTTTTTTTGGGAACACTGTGTTTTGTTTGGCAACACTGAATCGCGTTTAGTGATCACTGTATTTTGGTTGGTAGCCCTGTTGTGAATGTCACTTGTTGTGTCAGTTTTTGTTGTGATTGTAATATGTTGCTCACTTCACTTCAATGACTTAATAGTTTTTAGGTTATAGTTTAATTGTATTTGTTGTATACTTTTTCACAAAACGTTGGTTTTCACTGACTTTTTATATTAATTCCTTTTGTTTGTGTTTTCTTCAACACTATTAGATAGAAATACGGTTGAATGCACTGGTTTTTGCAAAGAGTTCGATAAATATTTACGGAGATCGTTGACGTACGTCTAAACTGTTCGATAACCGGAACCGGAATGCTCTTTTTTTACCTTACTTCCCTTTAAACAAGACCTTTCGGAAAACTAGGCAATACATGTTATGTAAACGGCAAGTCTCCAGTGTGCTCAGTGCGAGTTTTTTTTAACGTTCTCGATAGCGTAAAAGTTAACTTTTCGCATGCAGTTGGAACTGCGCCCCTAGCGGCAAACATAGGCACACGTTCAACTCCATACTTTGAGTTTTTGATAATTTTACGCTATGGAGAACGTTAAAAAACCCGCACTAAGCTCACAGATTACTTATAAATGGTTTTGTCACCAACTTTACAAAATCTCATCATCGGCCATCGGAATCCGCAGAACGTTTTTGTTGTCCTAGTAGGCTGACGAGCATACTGACGGTGAGTGGTTACCGTCGCTCAAGTACGTCAGCAATGCGAGGGGCAGAGCCAAGCCGCCGCCTACCGGCTTTGCTACCAGTGTGCCTATAACCTTTTACAATAGTCAGCTATAGACTCAGCTACTTTTGTGGGCAACAAATGACATCTAGCACTATTCTCCCTAATACTGCCGTACAGCATTAGCCTGCGAAAGAAAATAGCATTGTGTAACAAAGTTTTCACTGCCCTTGCAAATGCTATCAGATTATAAATTTTAAGATTAATTTTGGTGGCATTTTTATTGTGTTGCATATAGGCTTTGATAACTACTTAATATCAGGTACAATCAGGGCTATTTGTTTACAATTTAAACTATTGCTATTGTGATATTGCTATAGCTCTAAATGGAAATTAGTCTGTACTGAAAATCAGCTTTCACAATATTCATTGCTCGGAATCATGAGTTGATTTCCACTTGAAGCGCTTGTATTTAGGCGCTAATAGATTAACCAACAACCAACATTGTTTGCTTGCAACACTTCAGTTACCCACTATGAACTACATTATGGGGATATGGAGGTTAGAGGTCAGACAAGTTGGGACAAGTTGAAAAAGTTCCACTTGTAAACAACAAGTTATTGTTGGAAGACTTACTGACATAGTGCTAGTGTAGGACTATGTCGGGAGTGCTAGTGGAAATGACTTTAATGAAATCAAATCAAATAAAAAAAAAAATTATTCAACATAAATGAAAGTACATACTTGTTGAACGTCAAAAAGAACTACCGCCAATTCACTAAAACTCGCCTCCGTCCTGAGAACTGGCAAGAAACTCAGCGGGCATGTCTTTTTTATTTTAAATATTAGATATTTTTTTTAATATTCATAAGAATATAGCAATTTTAAAGAAAATCAAGTGTGCTGGATTAAAGTGAAGTGTACATAAGGTACCTTGCTACACTTGCTACTGTGGCGCCACCTTAATTGTCTCCTTTTCAGAGGGCACTTTTTAATACATTGAGATGGTGATCTTTACTAATCATCATCATCTTAGGCCTTACAGCCCAGGGTGGGCCTTAGCCTGGTCCAGTATGTCTCTCCAGACTGCTCTGTTCAGAGCTTTCTCCTTCCAGTTTCTGACACCGATAACTTTAAGGTCGCGCTCCACACCATCCAACCATCGGAGTTTGGGTCTGCCATGACTTCTGCGGCCCTCTGGTTTGCCATAGAGTAGTTGTATTGGCATTTTGGTCTCCTCCGTTTGCTACTATGGCGCTACCTTTATTGGCTCCGTTTCAGCGGACTTTTGTAAATTATATATATAACAGTGAGAAAATAAAACAATAAAATATTTTGTTCGATTTTATTTATAACACAAAAATATCAATAAATAGTCACATCGGTTCACTATCACTTTCATAGTTAATAATTATATTTCACAACGTTGTCATACATCGTTGTTACGCAGCGTACATTTTCTTCAAAAAGTTTTAATTTACTTTATTGGTTCACTTTGATACGATTATATCGGCCTGTTAAAAGGGCGGAGATGCAGTGCTTTAAAAAAAAAATCATTTTCGTTTACGAGCTAATATAAGAAGCTTAAAATGTCATCGATTTTATAAGAATAACAGTGATAAATTACTTATTCATAGCTTTTTTTTTTGTTTCACCAAGTTTCATCTTGCCAGTGTGTGAAACTTTACATATTATAAAAAAGTATATATAACTAATATTTCGCTTGCTAGCTAATCACAAATATGGCGTGCGATCCCAGCTTTAGTATTAATTTAAAGTTATTTTATTTAACTTAACCATTCAAAGTTACTTGTTCAACTTTGGGGCATTTTATGAAAAGAAAATTTTTACTAATATTTTATTTTATTTTTTCATTTTAATTATAAATTTTTTATTTTAAAAGTATTGGTGATACCATTTTTAATTAATATCTGTGATTAGACCACCCGATTCCAGAACCACCGTTCAGTTGTTGACTTATGTTATATTTTTCTATATTTTCCTTCCTATCTACAGATATAAAAGACAATCAACATTTCCAAAACTATACATGGCCCTCGATCGAGAGATTAGCAATTATATTGGCAATTTTCGTATATGTAAGATATTCTTGATAAATTACTTTGTGGGATTAAGCACTAGCTCGTGCGTGATTGATGAAGATTATTAAAAATACTAGAAATATTATTTTTAAAGGCATGATTGATTTTTGATGAAAAGTTATTTTAATATTGATTACTATAGTTGAGAGCTTTAAAGGTATTATAAATCAAAACTAAAACGGTAATTTAGCAAAATGTGTTAACACATCTGACGGTATTTTTTAATATATATTTCGTTGGGAATTCTTTGTTTAATTTTGCCACCGGCTTCCCTTTAAATAGGTTTTATATGCACCATCTTTTATTAACATAATCTGTCAGTAATTATGAAAAAAAAAAATCAATAGGCCTTACATTAATTAATTAATTCGTATAGAATTCTCAACTCAAATAATAGCTCAAACTCAATAGCGGCACATTAATACACGGAACTTTGCTCTTAAAACCTAAAATAAAGGATTTCTAAATGTAATAATATTAAAAAAAAAAAAAAATTCAATAAATCATTAAAATGTCTTCAAAGAACATGAATAATAATCTCGAGGGCAGTTTGACTGGCCATGACTCGTTTTTTTTTATTCTATCTAAATATTCAAAATGTCGATTTTTTTTACTCGATTATATTACACTATTGTTTTTTTTTTGTTATTTTATTTCTATCTATCTACCTTACTATCGAAGTGCAATATCGTCTTATCGAATCGTTTATACAAAAATCGATATCGCAGGTAAGCTAGGCATTTGTAAATATGATTATATATTTTCAACATCACATTTGGCCAAATTCCGTTAAAATTTATCGATATCGATAAACATTTTATCGTACGCGAGCGTGTTATCAAAGCAAGTTTTTTTTAAATACAGTTTGGTCACTCTTAAAACTGATTAAACCGTTAACAATATACAAATCTGAAAGTAAACACCGAATCTCAATTGAACATCCCAATATCGATACGAGGATGACGAACTTCACTATTACAATGATATACAATTTCAATTACACAATAGTCGATATTATAATCGAACAACATTCTCACTGACACGTTTCTGATTCCACAATCGATATAGCGTTATAGTTTTGTTAAACCTAACCGATTATCAGAATCGATTTTCATAATCGATATAGTATTATAGTTTTGTCATACCTAATCGATTATCAGAATCGATATTTAGAAAAAAATATATATGAATGTTTCTAATCGATTATTCGGCTAGTGCTCACTCATTGCTGCGCTGGTTTCGGATACGAGAACCTCGGCAGGGAGATTCCGAATTTGGTTTCGAGTCCTGTCAGTACCGGTAGGGCCACTTGGTAGCCGCCGATGTGGTGCGGCTTCTTTATCGATTCCTCGATGGGGGTCGCCACGTGGAGCTCCGAGCCCGTTGGACGACTAGAAACCGAGTGAAGCGTTAGTTTCCACTGACCCTAGTGCGGCCAACCTAACCTGAACCGCCATACATTTCGAAAATCTCGATTCGAATTTGAAGGCGTCGTGGCCTAAAAGATAAGACGTCCGGTACAATCGTATCGAGCGATGCGATTGCACCAGTGTTCAAAACCCGCAGGTTACAATTTTTTCTAACTTAAAACACATTTACGAACGATTTCCACGATAAATTAATATAATTATCATTGTGTAATTTTAAAAATGAAAATCGCAAGAAAAATCACAATTTTCGTGCTTACGAATTTTTAGCCTCGCGCGGGAAAGTATTGCATCATCCTGCTTACTCGTTAGGGGTTTTGAGAATAGCTGTTCCACTATAAAACTGAGATTTAGAACTCATGTCTACTGGTCGGTGGATAGGGGCTTATTTACGCTGCTGATGTCTATGGGCTCTGGTAGTTAGTGAAAATTTCATTTTATATGACAGCTCCTCTCATCCTATTCCAAACGCCACTTGCAGGCCACTTGCAATGTAAGCTCCGATATTTAAGACCTATGTTTGATACTCACGACCCTCCGAAGTCGACGTAGAAGAGTCGCTGTAATATTTCATACGTGACCAGCGTGACGCCGAACTGCGGCGACGAGCGGAACACGCGAGCTGTTCATTTAACAAACACAATTAATTGCTTTAATTCGATATTAGTAGCATACGGAACATTCGTGTGAGGCATTTGTGCTGGGGCTACATTAGCGGGCGAAGATTCGTGCCGCGTTGATGCGATACATCGTGCCGGGTTGTGTTGCGGTCTGCTACATATAACACTCTCTATTTCATACGATTGAATGAATCCCAACACTTTTTTGTTACTCCACTCCATGGTGTACAAGAAAACAAGCACGTTCGTATCGCATCAAAGTCTGGTCGACACTGAAGCGACGTAGGTATAGCGATCAAAGCGAATATTGTCGCGATAAATCTCTTTGGTATGCGCCAGTTTACCGACAAGTCTTCGCCCTCACTTTGAGAAGGCGGCACGACATGAAAGCCCTCTTGTAGTGGCCGCCGGTAATTACATACCCGATCCGGTGGACCGAATGGTATACAGTCGACGTCGCCCAAAACATGTCATTACGGACCCTCCCGATCCATTAACGGTGCTTTTAGGTACCACAAGCACCGGTCACCGCGAGGGGCTCGACGAGTAAATTAACCCATAGACACAGCCCACTGAGTTTCTCGCCGGATCTTCTACGTGGGTCGCATTTCCGATCCAGTCGTAGATTCTGCGAAGCACGGCTCTTGCTATGGCCAGTGTTAGTAACACACCCGATTTGAGCCCCGTGAGCTCAACTACATGTCAAGGAGAAGCTGAAATAGACTCTCTCAAGGCTATCATCAACATAGGTAGGAAAAGTCTTCGCTGGAATACTACGCGTTGCAACGATCCACTCGGCCACACTCATCGCGATAGCACGAATATTCGCCGCAACCCGCTAATGTAGCCCCAGCACTATACGTTTTAAGAATGCTAACGTGCACATAAACCTTTATAAGTCCTGAGTACATACATACATTCTGTGTTAATATGAATATGATGAATGCGAAAGTGTTTGTTTTTCGACTTTTTTTAAATGATAGTGTTAAGTTAGGACAGTGATAACATGGGCTATCTTTATCTCGAAACAACCTCGCATTTTCACATGGAACTACATCGACAATTTATCTTCACGATGCGAGTAAGCCCTAACGACTAGTTTATGTAGAATCGTAAACAAGAGTGGGTATAATCATAAAGCTCACCGATAGCGCCCTTCCAGAAAGCTCTGGCGCCTTCCTCTGCGTATATCTTCCTGGTCGCGTCTATAACTCCGTTGTAAGTTGTCTGTCCGGACCGCGCCACCACCTGCGATGTACAGACAACAGTAGTCAAATATCATATATCAACAAAAATTAAACCCGCAAAATGATAATTTGCGTAATCACTGGTGGTAGGACGTCTCACAATAGGTCCTCAAATTATAATTATCATTTTCAAATTATAATTTTGCGGGTTTGATTTTGATTACACGATGTTATTCCTTTACCGTGGAAGTCAATCGTGAACATTTGTTAAGTACGTACAATATTTCATTTCATTCCTCCATGAAATATAAAAACTGGTTTAAATCGTGCAAGATAATTCCTATTTTATTGCTCGGTTAATTATTCTCAATATGTACATCTAAAATTAGCTTAACTATCGAAATTCAATTGCAATTATAGACATCTTCAAAGCGTTCCATTAATTCTTTGAGAAATGTTATCTTTGAAAACGTGTGAAAAAGACGTGTTTAGGGCATAAGCACACAGATAATATCCAAGCAGTCTGTCCAAGTGTTGTGTATTGATATAGCGTACCTGTAATCTGGTTTTGATGACGTCAGCGGGGGTGACCAGCGAGGCGGCGGGGATGCCGGCGATGGCGCCCGCCGCCAGCAGCGTCAGGGGGTGGTTGTAGCCGTTCTCGTCCGCGAACTTAGCCTGCGACCAAACGTTCGTGGTTGTTATTTGTATTCTCGGGATATTATGCTCCGAACACATAAAAGTCAAACACACCAATTTTAACAATATAATAATATAATATGTGTACAATGTTCTATTATAAAGTAAAAAGAGTAAACAAATCGCTAGGCACTACAAGACACAAATTAAAACTAAAATTATAATACGTTTTACAATCAACTTAAATCGACGCGCGCGAATCTCGTTTCATGACGTCACGGGACACGTGCGCGTTCGGGAACTCCGATCGCATCCGATGACGCCCGAGTGCGACCAAATGCTGCACGCTACAGGTTTCATCACAATTATCAGGTTCGGCGTTCGCGAATCGCAGACGAAATTAGACTTTACCGTCTATGTATTACGGAGGTATTCGAATCGTAAATACCGTTACGCGCTGAGGTTCGGGATAAATAAAATTTTCACCCGAGTACAAATTAAAACTCTATTCAACACTTAAAGCAGTTAACTCCTTGACTGCCATGCCGGTCACCGGTACCCTACGCGGCGCACTGAAGTAGTTCGACGATAGATGGCGTTACTTTTACCCGCGTAACAATACAATAATTAACCGTAAAATTAGCATTACCGTTCGTTGTGATTTACTAATTATAAAAAAACACAATTTAATAAAGTTTTCGATTTGGCGACGAGATATTTTTAACACAACACACACACACCCACACAAATACGATTTTCATTATATGTTTAAAATATTCGCTACCACACTTGATCGTTAGCAGAATATTTAACATGTAATAGGAAATAATACTAAAAATAAATATTTTAATCAAAAAATACCATTGACAGTGTTGCAATGGTTCAAAAAACTAAACAATGAAAAAAGTAAAGAGTCTCGACTATTTATTATTACGTGTTTGATGGTGGAACAGCCTAATTTCTATTTCCTTTTTAGAATCTTCAGATCGAGATTATATTATTAAGCAAGGGCAGTTTATTTCTTTCCATATCCATGCCGTATCCAACAGAGGATCAACATAATTTTGTTACTGTATAATTGAGAATCGACCGTAATTGCTGAAGCCTTAAAGTTCATTTTCTCTTGATGTTATTCAAATTATATACAAAACAAGTATTTAAAAAAAATACCATTATCCGTCTATTTATAGATACAGAACCTTACCTTAACATGAGCATAGGCCGGGAAGTATATGGCGCTGAAGGGCACGTCGCGGAGGAGGCAGGCCTTCGCCCCCTTGTACAGTCCGAAGAGCCCGAGGTCCTTGACGACGGACCAGGCCTTCACTTTGGTCCCCCCGGCTATCTCGCCGGCGACTTGAAGACGAATTTTGACAATTTCCAGGGGATTCGTGAACACCACTTGAGAACCGCCCGCCTGCGATATAATAACATAGTCTCAGCTAAATTATTCACAAGCAAAGGTCAAAAATTTGAAATTTTTAGTTTATTGAAATTAAATTATTTTTTTATTGTCCTTGTATGCAGAGGAGAGCATACAGCCCACCTGATGGTGAGTGGTTCCACAGATTTAAAACTAAATTATTATATTTTTAATTTGTAAATAACACTCACACATGCGCCGGCGATGATCTCAGCGTACAATGATAGGTTTCCTTTTTTGTCCATGAATTTATCGCGAACTAAATCGTTGACCTGTTACCAATATAACATTTGTAAGTAAATAAACAATTTGATCTAAGAGCAGAACCGAATGAAAAATTCATAATCTCATAAGGATTATTTTGACTTGACCTCTTCAGAACCATATCTGTAACATTATTTTCCTTTTTTATTATTTATATATTTAATTAAACGTCACATATGTATGGCCCGTTTTTTTTAAATTAATATTCACTATGTTTTGTTTTATGTATTATTTTCTTATTGAATTTTTTTCAAATTAAATTGAACAAATTACAATTTGGACACTACACATTACAATGATCAACTAACTTCATGTTGGTACTTTAAAAAAATCGTCCCTGAAGAAGTTATATATAGAGGAATATTAATGTATTTTCATCGGTCCTTGATGTGTGCAGATATTGAAAATAATCTGGATGTGTTAAGATCGGTGTAAATTAGGTTAAAAGATTCGGTTATATAGATATATAGATTATTAGTATTTTAGAAAAAAATGTCTATAATAGTGGCCAAGAATTTTGTCAAAAGTATACCAATAGTATAACATTGACACATACTGTCCGCGCGCGAGCTCCGAGGATTTTTAAGGAATGTTGACGTAATGAGCTAGAGTTGTTATTAGTCGATATTGCGCTATCGATACTAACACAATATCTCAAGCCTCCGTGCGAGTGTAAATTATAAAATAATTTTAAGAGGGTATTATGTACTTGAAATAAATGAAAAAAGCAATTGATCACGTATGAATTTAATTTAATGAACTGATTTTTATTGAACAAAATGAACGTGAAATCTTATTAATTACTCTCGCAAGCCGATTAATCAGTAGTTGAAGAATTTGATGTACTCTTCTCTTGATGTCACTCTCCTCACATACTTCAATAATAAATGATTCGACAACATACTCCATTAAGCCATCCTTTTGCCAGTAATGTTCCTCTAATGCTAAGACATGTTTATTATGCTAGTGCTCGCCATTCCTTTTTTATCAAATTAATTAGCTATTTGTGCAAACAAAAAGACTTATAAGTGTAAGACTATTTATATTAGAAATCACACGTAATTAGCACTGCTATCGCAAAATTAAAAACAACGAGTCGGCAAGCGTACTCTCACGTTAATGTCAACACTAGTACTGGGAGAGTGCGGGGTATGAAGCGACGGTCGGGCGCGGTGCACGCCCGCCCGCTTCCTCAGCCCCCGAATCATCGGAGCTCGCGCGCGGAGTATACGAAAAGGACAAAATTCTTTATTTTTATGGTTTGAAGTCATAGTTAATCGGTGGCAAATTAAGGGTCATCCACAGTCATCACGCGATGCACGCAGCCGCCGTCTTGGGCCAGGCTCGTAGTTTGGTTAGTTTTAGAATGAGGAACGCGCTCCACAACTATATATTTTTTATCTTTATTGCCCTAGTAAGCAGCTGAGCGTATGGCCCACCTGATGGTGAGTGGTTATCGTCGCCCATGAACTTCAGCGATGCCAGGGGCAGAACTAAGTCGCTAAGTTTTATTTATTTATTTATTTATGCACAAAACAAATTACAATCGTTACAGTACATATTAGCTAAATCGTACAAGTAGAACCTAAATCTAATCTGAATTGCAATCTAAATAGCAACGTGCACTCAGCAAAACCATATTAATGTGCATAGCTTTGGCTATTGAAAACACAATTGAAATTACAAATAATGATAATTAGCCATTGCCAAATAGGATATCCTTCACACATTTGACAAATCCCCTGAGTCTAGGTTCAAAGATATCAAGGTTACCGTGACATTTAGCCAAATCATTATACTGCCTGACCATTCTTACCATAGGGTTATAGTATAATATATTATTACCATAGGGTTATAGTATGATATATTATTACCATAGGGTTATAGCATGATATATTATTACCATAGGGTTATAGTATGATATATTATTACCATAGGGTTATAGCATGATATATTATTACCATAGGGTTATAGTATGATTTATTATTACCATAGGGTTATATTATGACATATTATTACCATAGGGTTATAGTATGATATATTATTACCATAGGGTTATAGTATGATTTATTATTACCATAGGGTTATAGTATGACATATTATTACCATAGGGTTATAGTATGATATATTATTACCATAGGGTTTATAGTATGATTTATTATTACCATAGGGTTATAGTATGATATTTTATTACCATGGGGTTATAGTATGATATTTTATTACCATGGGGTTATAGTATGATATATCAAGAGGGTAGTCACCGTTAGCTTGATGGCTTTCTCCGGGGCGACACCGATGAGCTGCGGCACGAGGCCCCGGTACAGGCCGAACACGCCCTCGTGCCGGATCACCTTCTTGAAGCAGTCCCACGAGTTCCGGTACGCCACTTCGCCGATGAACGAGCCGGTGCGCTGGTTTTGCATCCGGGTCTTGACTAGATCTATCGGGTATACCGCCGAGGCTCCCACGGCTGTAACAACCAACATACACATTACAGACGTTATATATATACATATGCCGCAGTCTTAGTGACTGTTTATCCTGTGGACCGAATGGTAAACAGTCGACGTCGCCCTAAACACGTAATTACGAATCCTCCCGATCCATTAACGGTGCTTTTAGGTACCTCAAGCACCGATCACCGTCCTCGCCGAACCCGTCGCTTGCGACGTAGGGCTCGACAAGTAAGTTAACCCATAGACACAGCCCACTGAGTTACTCGCCGGATCTTCTCAGTGGGTCGCGTTTCCGATCCGGTGGTAGATTCTGCGAAGCACTGCTTTTACTAGGACCAGTGTTAGCAACACTTCGGTTTGAGCCCCGAGAACTCACCTACACGCTAGGGTAACGCTGCTATAACCTCTCAAGGCTATCAGAATAGGGTTGAAAAAAAAAGTAAATGTTATCAATTAAGTTTAGTCGGAAACGTAAAGTCGTCCACTTGAGTAAGGCCGATACAGCGATGGCAACACTAGTTTCCGACAGTTTGACGTTTGGTACCGTTTGACAGTTGACGTTGGAGATGTACCATAAAATGGGGCGATTAGGGATTGAGAGGCGAATTGGGAAAAAACCGGGAAAATCTTTCGACGCTCAATATTAGTTTTATATTCGTTGCAAAATCTTCCATTTTTTGTAGTTTAATAGTAGAATGTTGAAAGTTTACAAAACAACTCTGAGTATGCATGATAATAGCTGCTAACTTATAAAAAATCGCGTTTTAAATTAACTTCCTGTGGTGGTAATTATTTTAGTGCTAGAAACTTTGCTCTCTTTTATTTATTTGATAATAATAGAAGACGATTGTGATTTATAAACGTTATTTAGTGTTTGAACCATCATATATATTAAAGGTAAGTCTCAGTTGTTATTGGTTTTAATGTATTTGATAAAATAAAAATACATGTACAAATCTGTTGTTTTTGGGGATATTGGGGACGTCTTAGGTACAGATAACAACGAAAAAGGGGTCAATTGGGATGAGAATACGTGAAATGGAAACGACCTAAGTATAAATAGGTACAGGTTTGTAGGGTTGTCTATGTAGTTATAACAATATTTTTTAAATTTGTTGGTAAAAATCTGGTTTATTCATGATGTTTTTGTCTAGAACTTTTATTCAAAATTATCAATGTGTTATTTTATTGTTTGGTAAATATTTATATTATCAGTTATGTATTGTTTTCTATTTTTAGATATGCTTCGCGTGTACGAATCAAAGAGTGCAAAGCCTTATAAGAGATATGATCCCTTAATATTAAAAACAGCAATAGAAGCCTATGAAATTGGGAATAAGTCTTTAGTTGAAATAGCTAAGCAATTTAATATAAGTAAGTCGATTTTGCACAGACATGTAACAAGAACAATGAAATCTCAATGTGGACAAAAATGTCTAAGTAATACATAATAAAATATTTAATATTTGTTCAGAGTAGGGGTATTCATCTGATTAATCCATGGAATAACCGACACACCTAATCTCTTAACCCGGATAAAAATATCAGCCCTTAAGTACTTACCAAGAACGAAGAAATATAAACCGTTTATAAGAAAGCCCACTCGTTCGAATTTAGGTGCTTGCTCTCCTTTGGGACTACAATAATGTCCACGGTAGCGTGGTCTCCGTCAATGTTCATTCGGAGTTGTCCGATTGCGCTGAACTAATTTTAAGTGATGAAATAGATGTTTTTTTTTATTGTCTCACAACTTACAGGACAAATCTGTCGCGGATCATTTCCCAAGTAAATATAAATTAATCATAAGTAAATAAATGTAATCAAGTTGATATTGATCACTTTGTTGGTGCAATTAAATAAATAAATAAATTAAAACCAAGTAGTGCCAATCCTAGCAAATTTCTCATTTCGTCCCAATTAACCGCAATTTCCGGGTAAATAGGGATTACATCTATTTTTGCTTTTTTTGCTCAAACTGGAATGCTAGTTGCATAGTTTTAAATTGGACAACAAAGTTGCCCCCAAGACTCAATCATTTTGATCCTGATATAGCATTATATTATACATCAACAACTACCTTAAAATTGGTCATAAAGTTGGAATCTGTCCCTAATCGCCCCATTTTACCGGTAGTGTTGCGGTAAAGAAAATACCGTGATAATTCTGTACGAGAGCGCCGATCCGAACGGTCGTTACGTGTTAAGTCACGAGAGTCGCTGTAGCGAACTTGCCGCGTTTCTCGACCAATCTCAATCTATCCGTTTGATCATTAGTGATACTCTATAAATTTGTTTGCTACAGCGAAAATAAACGTTTGTTTTGATAATCTCAAATATTATTTTGAGTTTTCGGCAATGTGTGACCACACTCATACCATCACACCCGCAAAGCAGCGCAAAAGTCAGCGCAAAAGTGGCCTAAGCTTACCGTAGTTAGTATGGAGATAATGAGGTTCGAATTTACCTTTACAATACTTCGTAGACAAAAAAATACGCGCTAAAATGATGTTTACAAAGGCATCTATTATCTATCGATGATTTTACATCAAAATTTATTATGTTTCAAATAAATTGCAATACATAAGCACGAATATGAATTGTGGGTTAGGCCACTTATGCACTGACGGCCTCATATATACTTATTTGGTACTCTCTCTACGAGTATATTTTTTGTTTAAAGCAATTTTGGAGCACAGGACAGCCAGCTGTGTTTCTTAAGTCTATGTCGAGTGGTGAAAGGTTATTTGGTATAAGCGACATTTCGCTTAATACGCGACATGTTTCTTTGGTAACAGCAATTCGATGTTTTTAATCAATTATGTTTACACCGTTCAAATAGCTTAAAACTTTTTTTTATTATGATATTTTTTCCATATTTTAAACTTTAAATGGTTCTCATGTAAATTTGCAAAAATTCGCTTAAGCCAAATAGGGGCTTTCACCCCTCGTTATAATGGTTTTGAATTTATTAAAGTTAGCTAGTAGTGCGACAACTCACCCCCGGCTACGGAACCTAGCGTGAATCTGTACGTGCTCTCTAGGATTTGTATTAGCACACCTCTCTCCTCCGGGCTCTGCAACAAAAACAAAAGTATTTACCGCTTTTCTAAAATCTACGAATATTTTTGTACTATGGCAACACTTATAAATACTCGAAATAAAAATAACGTGAGTGACACTTTAAAAAGAGTTATCCTCAAAATGGCTTTGAGTATGTGTTTACGGTAAAAATATATATATTCCACTTGGTATACTTGTAAATGAAGTTTCAGTATATGTGATAAATTTGTCATGTATGAATTGAAGCTTTTTTTTTTAAAGTTTCTATGGGTAGACGAGCTCACGGCTCACCTGTGGTTAAAAGGTTACCGGTGCCCATAGGCATCTACAACCTAAATGCTGCCACCCACCTTGAGATATGAGTTCCTTTTTGGTTTTTTTTTATTGCCCTTGTAGGCAGACGACCATACCGCCCATCTGATGGTGAGTGGTTACCGTCGCCCATTGACTTCAGCAATGCCAGGGGCAGAGCCAAGCCGCTGCCTACCGTCTAAAGTATCTCCGTATAGTTACGTGTTTATGAGTTGTTATCTACTAATAATTATTTAATTGAATGTATATTTAGAGAAACTTAACAAACAGTATAACAATTATTTGAAGACATATTCAGATTGATAACTATTGTGAGTGAGAAAAAAAATCCTTTAAAAAAGTAAATTACGTTCAGTGAAATGGTCAATGTTGAAATATAGCAAATGGTGAATTATTTAAAAAAATATTAAAATCAAATGTCGTTATTTTTATTGGTTTTCGCGAGTCGTAGAGACATAACATTTTAACTAAATATTTAAGCGTTCAAACAAACACCAGTTGCAACCGTTAAAGTGGTCTTAATTTAAATTTTCGTCATTTGAATTGTGATTTAAGCTACAGCGTGTTTAATGATTATAGTTATCTGAAAATAGCTTTTGAATACTTTCACAGTTGGCGTGCTCACGGACGAGAGATGGAATCGAGCGTGAAATTAAATCGCAATAGTTTCAACTAGGAGATGTGTGGAAATGGTAGTCCAAGATAGAGGGGGAAGAGGTCGATCGAAGAAGACATGGATGGAGTGTATGAATGTCGATATGAGAAAGAGAGGAGAGAGTGTTGATATGACGGCTGATAGAAGAGAATGGAATAGAAAAATTCGCTGTGCCGACCCCACCTAGTGGGATAAGGGACAAAGAAGAAGGGTTTCAACTACGTATTATCATAGTTCAGTTCTGGCACAAAACAAATAATGTGTTTTATCCAATTCATCCCAATTAATGAAGAAGATATTCGAGGTCCGTGGACAGGTATGAGCAAAGCGCTGACAGTTATTTTACAGAATTCTAAAAATCAAAGTCATTAAATAGTTGAAAGAGAATAACGCGATGGCACAGAGGAAGCGGGAATATTATTCTAAAGGTGTGACCATATTTTGTAACTTTAGGATGACAATATTTTTACAAGTCTTCTATAAAATTATGGATCATCTATGGACTGATGAATGAAAGGTGTATGAAAATTCACACGATACAAATCGGTCAAGATCTCAGTAAAGTAAGTCATAGAAAAATGAATTATGGCTTCACCAAAAGTAAAAATGTTATTATTTTTTTCAAAAAAATCTAGTTTATATTACAGACATTGCATTTATCATTGGCAACGGATAACGTCATTTTTATTTTTGGTTATTTATTTAGTTGTACTAAACGAGCAACAAACGTGTCAAAATATAATTGAAATATATATATTATATAAATATATAACATAAAGGACCTTTTTAACCAGGACTCACCATTAATTCCATACAGTTTACAAAACGGTACGGTTTCCTACACATATTTACCTCCTCCTTTTGCGCATTGAAAGAAACAAAATACAGACCTGTCAGTTAGTGACGTTTCTATGGTTTTATACTATGGTTTTATTTAATATGAATAGAAGCTATTACAACTTACTTAGTCTATAATTACATTAACAATCAATTCAGTTGAGGTCGGCCTCTGGCCGGACAATATTGAGTTTTAAGCTTTTGAATTACTTACGGAAACAGCTTTAATTTCTGCTACTCTTCGTGTAACCTGCTTGAAGTATTGCTCTGGCGTTATGGAGTTCAAATCGTTGTACACAATGCGACTGCAAGAGAAACAATAGAATTTTAAGTCTAATAAAATAATCTTAATATATAAAAATGAATTGCTGTTCGTTAGTCGCGATAAAACTCGAGACCGGCTGGACCGATTTGGCTAATTTTGGTCCTTGAATTATTTGTGGAAGTCCAGAGAAGGTTTAAAAGGTAAATAAATATGAAAATGCTCGGAAATAAATAAAAATAACAATTTTGTTTTTCCTTTGATGTGTCCCCCGTCGGACGGATTCCTTTTGTTTGTTTTATTTTATACAAAAGTTTAGGTCTTTTATTTATAGATTGAGGCACTACAAAGTCTGCCGGGTCAGCTAGTAATGTTATATTATAATAATTTAAATTTAAATTTAGCATTGTACTATTGTTGTATTATATTTAACTCATCCAAAACGAAATCAAAATTGCAACATTTGCTTTCATGTCATGATATAGTGCTTTGCAACCATGATACGCTTTATGGAGACAATTGAAATGCAGAAATGCTTATCTCCTCAGTTGTCTTATCTGCAATTATTATATATTACAGTTATTTATTGAATGTACCAGAACAATGTCGACAAAATAGTAAAATTTATGATTAATATTAAATACATGGGATATCTTGGCTTTTGAAGATTTCCATACTGATAATTAATTATGCAATAATGTTATTGGAGAAAAATACTTGTTAGTTATAAACAGTATCATGACAAATATCTCAAATAGAAGTAGTCATAATATAGAAGAAAATTTGAAGAATGTTAGGTTAATGTCAATAAATCAGAAGGCCAAATCTATACACGCTTTTGATACTCTATAGATCATAACTTTAAATATTATATGTGAAATAAAGTAGGTGCCTAAAGCAGAGTTATTATAATTGTTTTTTATTTTTAATTCTTATTATAATATCACAAATTAAATTGCCGTTATTATTGAAGATTAAAAAAATCAAAATAAATCACCCAGTTGAAATATCTTGGTGTAACATAACCAAGTTATTTTTAATTTTTCGATAGTATAGAATTCAAGTTTCCTTCGATTCCATTCAATTCAATCGACATGCTGACATGCGTCATACAAACTCGGTTTCGATGAGATTTTGGACTGTGCCTATTTTCTCAGCAGTTGGACTATCATCCCTCTTGTTTCCCTTACACCTAATGGATTATGTAATAGTAATTTTTTCTGATTTATAGAAAAGAAAGAAATAGGAGAAGAAAAAGAAATAAAAATTAATCGCCTAATAAAATCAATCTCGCATAATTGTGATTTGCGTAATTACTAGTGGTAGGACGTCTTTTGTGAGTCCGCACGGGTAGGTACCACCACCCTGCCTATTTCTGCCGTGAAGCAGTACTGCGTTTGGGTTTGAAGGGTAAGGCCGCCGTTGTAACAATACTGAGACCTTGTACTCATATCTCAAGTCGGGTGGCGGCATTTACGTTGTAGATGGTTATGGGCTCGGGTGACCGTGAGGTAGGCCGTGAGCTCGTCCACAAATTTAAGAAATAAACAAAAAAAAATAACGAAAACATCTACAAACTGTTACATCCATTTAATAAGTGTTTGATATTTTAAATTGAATTATCTAGACATATCTTGCCTTTGTTGATGTGAATGTGTCCTAAGCCACGTATGGGATAGATATTATGTTTAAAATTGTCGGTTGGTAAATTGGGCTTAGGGTATGTTAATGACATTATATTATTGTCTTTTTAAGCATTCCTGGCTGGATTGGATGAAATAGAGCGCCTATTGTGTCTATAGACGACTGAGTAACATGGTGACACTATTATATGACAACGATGTGAGCCAACCCTATTATTATTGTTGAAAAAACCCTATTATTATTGTTGGAAAGGCAACGATAGAAAATTTATTAATATGCAAATCATTTTCAATTCATTCAATGAACTCAAATGCTAAAGTAGTATAAAAAGATCTCCGGCGTTTTTGTTTTGATAAGTCGATATTGATGATAAGAACGGAAATGATAAGACACGAACGTAGGTAGTGAATAGAAAATCGTAAAACGATAAGATAGTTTATCCGAGCTTTTCTTTGACCAATCTATTGTCGATGCGATACTTTTATTAATTAGGAAACGTGACGTCTGAAACGCTATCTGCGTAATTCTTTTAAATTATTTTACGGCTGGTAACACTTTGCTTTTACCGCCAAACGATCGTGAAAATGGAATTATGATTTGTCTTGGTATTGGCCAGATACAAATTAGCGAATGCCTCTTTTGTTTATTTTCTTTATTCTTTATTGTACACACAGTTAATACATCTTTATCTACCAGCTAATGGTTCTTAAAGAGGTAGAGCTTTACATAAGCCCTTCAAACCGTTCCTATTCGAAAATCTAAGACTAACTTAAGCCATGACATTCGAAGCTGGGATATCCTGAAATATCAGCCAGATAAACATTTATTGATTCCGAACATTAGTGACAAGAGCCTCGGATTAGTTTTCTATTTAAAAATCTGCTAAAGGAAGATTCCAGAACATTTTCTTTTGTGTAACGGTAATTATTCTGGTCGATCCAATTCCAAATCGTTGTTGCATTTTCTCGCTTTGGTCTTGCCATTTTTATTTATTTACGAAGGAATTTATTTAAGAAGATAACAAAATATGCAAATTTCTTAATTGGAATTGTATTAAACGCTACATTTAGACTGGTGTTATCTTACGAGTCCGCACGGGTAGGTACCACCACACTACCTATATCTGCCATGAAGCAGTAATGCGTTTCGGTTTGGGGCAGCCGTGGTACTACAGAACTGAGGCTTAGAACTTACGTTTCAAAGCGTGTACGTCATGATATCTATGGATTGTAATAACGACTTGACACCAGAAGGACCGAGAGCTCCTTCAACAAGAATTGCCAATTTTGTACTATGCATGTAAAGAAAAATCTTCATTATGTAAAACCTTTTTAGTTTAAAAAACAAGATTTTTCTAAGACAGATTCACTGAGTTGTCTGCCATTGAGAATAAATAGAAGTTCAGTTTTACATAATTCAATAAAACTTTTAAAAATAATAATTTATAAAGGAGATTAAAGACATTAAATGTTGTTTTCTTTATTATTATTATTTTTTATTGCTTTTTTTTGCACAGCAGTATAAAAATATCATTTTTTTTTAAATACTTAATTTGGGTACTAACTGAGAATTTTTTTTTTTTTTTGTCCCCAATATCTCTACTATGAGGTGTTTCAGGATTATCCAATCTTTCTGAGACACCCTGTATATCATAATTTTTTTTTACCACTAGAAATTAATATGAATATTGGCTCACCCATTTGTATGGTGCAGAATGTCGCACAAGTTGAACAATATGTCCACTTCTAGGGGCGTGATTTGACTCATCATCTGGGCAGAGTGCAGAAACTCCTCTTTGGTGACCTCCTGCGTGCGGTGTCCGGTGCGGTTCGTGGCGTTGAGGTACACCCTCTTGATTAGCTCCATGTTGTTTAATAATGAATTGAAGGCCATGTAGTAAGGGAAACTGATCTTTCGCTCGCCTTGCGGAAAACCAGAGGCCTGGAATAGAAATTATTAGGTAAATTATTAGGTATTACTGTTTTTTTTGAAGTGAAACTTCTGAGGCGACTTCTAACAAGGTTGCGTTAAACGTTTAACGCTACCGTGAAATAGAAAGAGACAGAGCGAGAGTGAATGCGTGGCACTCGAACGCATGCGCGTAGTACCTGTTACAGTACCTTTTACAGGCCAGCGCGAGCTTTAGCAACGAGTAGCGTCCAATATTTTAATGAAGTATTTAAAAAAAAAATATATATGTGGGATTTATGAATGGTAGGGTGCAGATTACCGCAGAAATTCACACAAAATAATTAAAACAATCTTAACGTCGTACGATCCTTTACTTCTCCTTTTGACAACTGACTCATCATCTAATTTTACTTCACAGTGACATCTATCAATATTATAAAAGTGACATAAAAAGAAAATAAGAACAATCAGAATCCCACACGGCTATCCTGCATTATTCATCTGGCCCGGATGAATGCGATTCTTGTTCGTCATCACCATTAGACCATGGTTTCATCATGTCAGCGGAGCTAGTGGTGTTAATAGGTCCTTCACCGTCTCCTATCTTCTTCACNGTAGGATTGGCAGTGCAAAATGTTCCCATGGAAAGAGTGCGTGCTTCTATTGATAACTGGCCTCAACGTTTAAAGGACTGTATTGCAGCCAATGGAGACTACTTCGAATAAGCTTTTTATACTTTAAATTGTTTTATATTTATGTGTTAAACTAACACACTGTAAGAGTAATAAATGTTATTTACAATAGATTTTTTTTTAATTTTTTGATTGTAACAGTATTTATGGCCAGACTAAGTAGATATTGGAGTCCGTGTATAATGTTGGACGTCTATATTATTTATTATATAATATTGGTTCAGGCCATAGTAGGATACAATGTCGATTTTATCATACCTATATTTATATTAAACCCATCCATTGTTACTAATACGTGTAGATAGATAAATTATATAAAATTATCGGGCATCCGTATATGTATAGATTTGACGAAATTGGTATAAATTTACAGACAAGCGATTGTCAAAGAAAGAGAAAGTAAACATAAAGCTGGCAACGCCGCACTTACAAATGTCGTTCATCCTATGAGGATGCTAAATAGTCGATGCCATAGGTAAATCACGATCAATATATCCAGGACGCCTATAATTTAAGACCATGGTTCGGGGTTCAAAAATGCTGCGGCACGAACGCAAGAAGAATATCGCGAAAAATAAAATTATCGGAAAATGACGTATCTCACGGAGCTGGAAATCGAAAAACTAAGCAATATTCATTAAGACATGTTAAAAAAAGCAATGGGAACTGGAGGACGTCGTAATGATGCACGACGTGCAGACGCCAAAAAGATTGTAGGATGTAAATATATATATTTATTTTTCTATCTATAATTTAAAATATATATAATATAAATGTTGAGGATATCGCATCTCTTATACACATTCCCTTATTACAAGAGCAATCTGATTCAAGAATGAAAAATGAAGAAAACCACAATACTCGAAGCAGAAGTTTCACTTCATTCACGCGCACCGTTTTTATTTTGTGAACTAGCAAACCATGATGTGTTTATCAAATATTGTACACAGCTTTTTATAGTATTGGTCGCCGGATTGGTTCAGTATTTTAGGGAGAACAAAAGTTTTGAACGATGCTATACTCACAGTGATGACTTTGCTTTTCAAATCCTTTGTGAGAAGATGGCTCTTCACCGACATCATGATATTTCTGAAGTCGCCGGCTGTGATGAATCCGGTGCCTTCCTTGTCGCATTTCTTGAACGCTTCGACTCCGTATTCTTCGTGGAAGTCGTGCAAGAACTGACTGAACTCAGGGTATGTTACGAGCCGCTTCTTATCCTTGCCGAAGTACAGGCGAACGAACGTGCTCTCCATGTTGAAGGGAAGCTTCTTGTGGAGGGCCGTTTTTCGCATAACCTCGGCGAATTCGTCTATAAAATTTATACAGTAATGACATCGAATACTCCAGAATGAATTAATACAATAAAAGACAATTACATATATATTTTTTTATTGCGTGTAATCGTGACAAGAGGGAAAAAGGAAAACCGCAAGTATTTTTCCGTTTCTAAATCATGTCAATTTAATTTCCCTAAGTATGCTACATTAATGAAACAGCCACATTAATAAGTTTTTTTTTATTGCTTAGGTGTGTGGACGAGCTCACAGCCCGCCTGGTGTTAAGTTGTACTAGAGCCCATAGACATTTACAACGTATATGCGCCACCCACCTTGAGATATAAGTTCTAAGGTCTCAAGTATAGTTACAACGGCTGCCCCTCACCTACTAGCCCGATGACGCTGTCATGGCCTCTCTAGACAACAAAAATAGGTTGAAAAAAAAAACAACAACTTTGTAGCCCTTTTTACGAAAATTGCGCAGACGGAGGAGTATGAAATTGCCCACACTTTAGAGAATATAGAGAAGAAATGCAATATGCATAATTTTTTTTTCATATGTGCATAAAAAATACTTTAATCAACAACGAAAAACATTACACACACTACTATGTATTTGACACAACACACATATATAAACTCTTTGTTAATTGACAAACATTTGTTATTGTTTCAAGTCTGTGGTCAAATTGAGAATAGATGCATGTTGTTTGTCTTTAATATTATTTGTCTTTATTGTAGTCTTGGTGAAATATGTGATTAAAGAAGTTTAGTAATGTTCAAACTTGTAAGTCCGCGGTGGTAGGACCACTTGTAAGTCCGCGCGGATAGGTACCACCGCCCTGCCTATATCTGCCGTGAAGCAGTAATGCGTTTCGGTTTGAAGGGTGGGGCAGCTGTTGTAACTATACTGAGACCTTAGAACTTGTATCTCAAGGTGGGTGGCGCGTCTACGTTGTAGATGTCTATGGGCTCCAGTAACCACTTAACACCAGGTGGGCTGTGAGCTCGTCCAACCATCTAAGGAATAAATAAAAAAAAAATCAGTTAATTACAGTCGACTTTCGACACACATAATAATCATTTTCCAATTATTCCGGTAACACCAGTGGTATTTTCCTATATCTTGATCCCTTTTCAATCTAAATTGTTAAACGCTAAAGCAGACAGTTTTCTGTACATCATTAATCTTATCGGCAGATATTATGGTGGTTTGATACTGATAGTGCGTCATTATCAGTGATTGAGTAAGCGCATTTCCATGATGAATTGTAAAGACAATTCAAATAAACAAACACGGCAGGCGCGCGCTACGGGCATTGAGTTTCGTTGCGATGACAACTTGCGCGGAATTTACAAGCTTATCTTTATTTGAAGCACTTTATTCGTAGACACAAAACTGCTTTTACGGTTTTTTTCTCGCATTTTTTACTGTGATTTGTTTTTTCTGACGTTTCTAAGTATAAGGTATTATTATTAGACATTTGAATGTTGTTTTGTTGCGAGATTAGTACAATACAGGGAGGGTAGAGTACTATTTATTATTGTTTTTTTTTTCAAGATTCTATTATTTTTGTCATTAGTATTAGAAAATGGACGTAAAGTATCATAGAGCATGTAGACAGCGGCTGGGGTCTGCTACTGGCTTTGCTGAAGTCCATGGGCGACGGTAAACACTCACCAGCAGGTGGGCGGTATGCTCGTCTGCCTACGGAGGCAATAAAAAAAAAGGATTCTTTTGATTACTAATCATGGTAAACGGACCTTCTTGTATTAGGTAAATATAATGTCTGATGGAGATCAATTATCGCAGTGGCACAGCGAATCACAGCGTAGCCAAACTGGGCGCGTTCTGACAATACTCAACAAATGTGTAATTGATAAAAAAACCTATCTATGCAGTGTGCTTAGTGCTAGTTTTTTAACGTTCTCGATAGCGTAAAAGTTAACTCAAATTTGTACGCAGTTGGAACAGCGGCAAACGTAGGCAAACATTCCAACTCCATACAAATTCGCCATCGAGACCGTTAAAAAACTCGCACTAGGCACGCTGGTAAGCTACGGGGCTAGACTAGCGTAACCGGGCGAGTAAATGAGCTCACGGAGCTCTAACTTTACGAATTTGCTAATACTAGCCCTAGCAAGAGCAGTCCTTCGCAGAATCTACAACCGGATCTGAAACGCGACCGACTGAGAAAATCCGACGAGAAACTCATTTGATTACAAAAACGGTAGTCAGTATGGACTTTGTGGAATATCTTTTTTGGAATGGAATTTACTGGACCGCCACCTTTTTTTCCTACCTAATCTGAGAGCCTTGAGAGGCTATTTCAGCGTAACCTTAACTAGTAGGTGAGCTCACGGGGCTCAATCCTGACGACGTTGCTAACACGAACCCTAGCATGAGCCGTGCGTCGCAGAATCTACCACCGGATCGGAAACGCGACCCACTGAGAAGATCCGGCGAGAAACTCAGTGGGCTGTGTCTAAGGGTTGGACCGCCAGCGAGTAGCAATCACAACGCAGCAGTATATACTATGAAAAAAAAAAACTGGTTGATAGTGGAACGAACCAACGCAAAATAAATTAGGCAAATGCTACTACCGTGTTAGATAATGGCATCCGCGAAGACGGCTCCCCACTAATTGAAAATAGCTCCTTCAAGATTAATAGTTCGGATATTGGATTATTTAAAATTAAAATTAAAACAGGTTTGGTTTTGTTAAGAGCTGTTACGAGTTTATCGACAAGAGCATATGTAAATGACGACGAAGCATAAATACGGAATCTTTTAAAAAATATATCTTAATGTACGGATAGAAATGGATCGACAGGGTTATAGCCCCATGTGCATATAGAAATGAATACTAGATACAGTCCAGACGGTGAGGGAATGCGATCGGAACAACACCAAAATTAGCGGAAGATTACAACATTTATCTCATGTTGACACAATAGCTTATTTTTCAGCGATAATCATTCAGTCAGTAGGGTAAATAGACAATGAAATTCAAAGTAAACACATAAACACAACGCCACCTCAAAGCTATATCATCTAAGGACTAAGGCCTGCCACGAACATATTCTTTCAGCGGCCGGACTATAATAGTCTATTCAAAAATTCACCTTCATATAAAAAATTATACGAAAATGTTCTTACTTGTTAATTCAAAATAGAGTTTTTGCACATAGCAAATTTTGGTTTGACAGCGACAATATGTAAATATGGACTATAATAGAAATATGCAAAAAAGGCCACCCACACTACCGATACCCCAAGACCCTTCAAAGTATCTTTCTTATATTCGATTTCTGTCTGTTTTTACCGCGAAGCAGCCATGCGTTACGGTTTAACGAATAAATAATACTAGTTAAACAAAGTCATTCAGAATTCAACCTTACGCATAAAGGTGGATGGTGGTGTTCACAATGCAACGTCTTTTGGTAACGATTTCACATAAAGCATAAATTAATATTAATTCTATAGTCTCCTAAAGGATAAGACGTCCGGTGCATTCGTGTTGAGCGATGCACCTGTGTTCGAATCTCAGGCGGGTACCAATTTTTCCAATGAAATACGTACTCAACTCTACGATCACGATTGACTTCCACGGTGAAGGAATATAAAATATGGTATAATAAAAATCAAACCCGCAAAATTATTATTTGCGTAATTAGGTACCACCATCCTGCCTATTTCTGCCGTGAAGCAGTAATACATTTCAATCTGAAGGTTAGGGCAGCCGTTGTAACTATACTGAGATTTTAGAACTTATATCTCAAGGTGGGTGGCGCATTTACGTTGTAGATGTCTATGGGCTCCAGTAACCACTTAACACCTGGGCTGTGAGTTCATCCACCCATCTAAGCAACAAAATAAAAAAAATAAAAATTTATGCTCCATTTTCCAAGACACCACCTACCTAGACGAGTTCAACTGAAGCAGGTCGTGAAAATTGAAAACAAGCCAGGTCACGTCATCACACTTACCAAAAGCAACAAGTCCATTTCCATTCGTATCGAATAGTTGAAAGGCGGTTTTGTACAGAGCGTCCGGCACGCACAGCAGACCTTCAAACGCCTGGAACTCGGAGAACGATATGTAACCGTCCTTGTCCATGTCGACGATTCCAGCGATGAGCTGGACCGATTCTTTGTTGAAATCATCTGCAATTAATAATTTTATTAAATCGATTTTCTACGGTTTCCTAATAGTAAAAGGTAGTACTGGTACAAAATCGATTCTGGTGACCACTTTTTTAAACGCGAATCAACAAAATTGCTTTGCTTTTGAGTGTGGTGCAAACTATAGCCAAAGAAGGCGATTTTTCTGTTCTCAATTCAACGCACAATTTACGTGAACTTCTTATAAGAATGCTATCTATTTAAAATCCAACAGTTTTCATCATCCCAACAGTTTTAATACAAAAACCTTTAAAACGTATCGCAACAATAGCTACTTACGTCCTATCAGATTGGCTAATTAATCAGCTATATTGGTCGGTAGCAGTAGCGGTAAACGATCGCAATTATATTCGACTTTTATTGATGACTAGCTGACCCGGCAGACTTCGTAATCCCTAAACCTAAGCCTTTGTATAAAATAAACTTAAAACAAACAAAAGAATCCGTCCGAAGGGAGACACATCAAATAGGAAAAACAAAACTGTTATTTTTATTTATTTCCAAGCATTTTCATATTTATCTACCTTTTAAACCTTCTCTGGACTTACACAAATAATTCAATACCAAAATTAGTCAAATCGGTCGAGCCGTTCTCGAGTTTTAGGGAGATTAACGAACAGCAATTCATTTTTATATATATAGATTATTTTCTACGCTGTGCATTTGTACGAAATTATGTCTCCAAATAACGATGCCACTAAGAGCTATGACCTAACCTTTAATCAGTGTGGGAGTCTAAACGACCTAACAAAACTAAGCTTGTTTCGCGAGTGTTATGACATGTACTTTTTCAAACGAGACTTGTGCAGCGAACTTAACGGTAGGCAGCGGTTTGGTTTTGCCCCTGGCCTTACTGAAGTCTATGGGCGACGGTAACCACACACCATCAGGTACGCTCGTCTGCATATAGGGCAATAAAAAAATAAAAAATGAACTGTAACTCTATTCTCCTGGAATTGCAGACTATTACTAGTTTTGTAAAATAATTACAAAGACAGTAGGTACTAAGAATAATAGTATTATTGAAATCTGCTACATTATACAGATATTTATTTAATTCCACTTAATTTTAACATTAATTGCGTCGAAAATAACTCGCATGGGCAACAAAATAAGTGAACCCATATTCCCGTATATACTTAGTACATGTCTTATCTATGAGACAACTGATTGGAAAAATACAAGGAAACCGTTGATACTATCCACAAACGTCAACTGTTAACTATAGTTTTAATTTTCAGTTAATCCATAGAAGATTACCTGTTTTAATGCATTTCTATATCAATGGGCTTTAGTTATTAGTATAACCTAGCATTTACCAATCAGATCCCTATCATCTAGGTCAATGTTTACTATTTATTTATTAGTATCTTTATTTATTTACTGCTGTCTTCTAGAAAGTGCAGTACCGCGTCTTACCTTCGGAGAATAATCCTAGATATTTTCTTACAAAATCTTCGCTTGTGATATGCTTCTCACCGTTCTTCTCAACGGTGGCGTACTTCAAGAAGATCTCATGTAGCTTCTCTGAATCAGCCCGTTTCAAATAACCAGCCCCCTATGAACAAAAAAAAAACTATGGAAAATCTTTAACTAAAATAACAAAGCCATCTCTTCATTTAAAATTAAACAAAAACTTTGACATTCGTCATTGTTTTGATGTAAGTGCTCGTTTTGCTGTTACAAAAAGGAATTACGTAATGGCTAATACGAAAAACAAATGGCGATAATAAACGATATTTAACATGTATAATATATCTTTCTTGAGAATTATATAGGTATATTTCTATTGCCTTTGTAGGCAGACGAGCATACAGCCCACCTGATGGTAAGTCGGCGCTCATGGCTGTCGGCAATGCCACAGGTGCAGCCAAGTCGCTGCCTACCACTGTCACCACTTAGCTTTATTATATCCGCAGTACACAAGCTCAAGGAAGACAACCGGTTAAAGTACCTAATTGAATATGCAATTTCGAAAAGGGCACATGTCGCATATTTTGTCAAATATGTTTTTTCATATACATGTAGCTTTGAGGCTTACCTGCACCCATTTTATAATAATTCCAGTAATTTTCAATTGCTAATTAACACTAAAATATATCTCAATAGTTAATATTTTAAATTTTACACTGCTTTAGAAAATAATCAGTTTTTTTTTCATTTTCTGAACATTTTACATTTTCAGAGATGTGCCCTTTTCGAAATTGCATATTCAATTAAAGCTGTAAAGTTAAGTTTAGTGTTAAAGATGAACACTTTGAATAGCGATGTCCTCTCCTAATCTCTTACCATTATCACTGTGTTCACGAACGATTTTGGCAATGTTTTAAGGTTGACAACTTTTGATTAAATCCACATATTTTAGTAACAGGATTCAATAAATGAGCATTATTGGATTGATGTCAAACTTAAATGACCCTTGTTAGTATGGGCCTTACTCGGTTATAACCGGTTCAAGATTTCGCCTGCATATTTACGCTTTTTGAAAAACGTGGCTAAGTACGTCTCTGTTTTAGAGTTGGCAACCCGAGAACCTACTATGCTAGGGGGCATGGGTGCCTTTTTTTTCCCTAACTAAGCTGAGAGCCTTGAGAGGCTATATCAACGTAGCCTTAACTAGTAGGTGAGCTCACGGGGCTCAAATCTGGTGACGTTGCTAACACGAACCCTAGCAAGAGCCGTGCTTCACAGAATCTACTACCGGATCGGAAACGCGACCCACTGAGAAGATCCGGCGAGAAATACAGTGGGCTGTGTCTGAGGGTTAATTTACTCGTCGAGCCCTTCGTCGCAAGCGACGGGATTGACGAGAACGATGACCGGTTATGTGCCAGTTTCTAATCATGTACCTGTTTATCCTTTCCTCTGCGTCACAGATAAAATGATATTTATATTTGAGGGAGTTCATATAGAGTCCCTTCTTTATTTCGCCGTAAAGTCGTGTTTTATGTAATTAACACCACAGTTGAAACAATATAAATTTTATTGTTGTAGCGGCATAAACAATTCTAAGTTATTATATTATATTAGTTATTAAACACATTTAGAAATTATTTTTACGTTTCAAATTTTCGCGGTAAAAAGGTCCCGTGTCACAGACTATATTCTTTTTTCCACCTCTCGTGCGTTCCGGCTTACGCATCATAAAAAGGTGCGTTCTTAAACGCCACATATTCATCGGTAGTGTACTTATTATGAAGTTATTCCTCAGGTTAGAGCCTCGTGAGCTCACCTATTCGCTAGGTTACGCTGGCATAGACACTAAAGGCTACCACAATAGGTAGAAAAAAAAATCATTAGATTTTAAATTCAGGTATAGTTCATAACAGAACCAATATAAATATTAATCCAAACAATAATGTTAAATTTTCTTAAGTTCGTATCGCGTTTTTTGTTCTCCATTTTATTATTTTCGACGTTTCGAATACTCCACAGTGTTCGTATACATGGCCGACGTCAATCTATCTATACCTAGTCAGGTCATAAATTCTGTCACATGTTTAATGTAAAATAATTGAAACAAGTTTATTCATTATGTAACCATTCATATACCAAAATGAACTTAACAAAACATAGATTCTTATGACTCTAAATTTTATTCAAAATGACCTCCGTGATTTTGAATTCAGGCCTTCAATCTGCGCGGCCAGTCGTCTATCGCAGCACGAACGAGGTCCATGTCAATATCGGCGGCTGCCTTAATCAAGGATGTCTTGAGTGACTCCAAATTGGGATGAGGCTTTGAGCACGCCTTTTCCTCCAAGTGTTGCCATATCTTGTAATCTAACGGATTCAAATCTGGACTTGAGGAGGGCCAGTCTTCGTGCCGGATGAAGTCGATTTCACGCGCCGCCAGCCAGTCTTGTGTGCTCTTCGCTCTATGAGCTGGCGCCGAATCTTGTTGGAATACCCAGTGCCTGTTATTGAACATGGTATGAGAAACAGGTTCCACAAGGTTCGTCAGGACTGTATTTTGATACACAACTGCATTCGTTTTTACACCTTTCTCACAAAAATGTACCTCTGTTAAGCCCCAATAAGAAACTCCCAACCATACCATGAGCGAGGATGGAAAATGACCTCGTTGGACACGCGGAATACGGTTGCTCGCTTCTTCACTACTGTGTGCGTACACCTTATCATTTTGTTTGTTGTAGCTCTCTTCTACGGTAAAAATTTTTTCATCCGAAAAAAGAATTTCCCGATATTTTTTTCCCGCGTACCGCTTCAACAAAGCGCGGCATCTCTTCAGTCTCAGGTCCATTAGACGAGCATTCAAACGATGTCCTGTTTTTCTTCGATATGCCCGAAGCCCTAAGTCTTCATTTAACACCCTTTTCACCGTGGTTCTGCTTAACCCCATCTGCAGGGCCAACAGTTTCTGCTTACGTTTGGGATTTCTTTGAATTCGCGCCTTCACAGCTTTTATCACTGCTGGAGTCCTAACAGACCGAGGGCGACTACTTCTTGACCTGTCATCTACACTAGAGTCTTCATTGTATCGTTTGATGGTACGATAAACGAATCTTTTGGTTATATTCAAATTTTCAGAATGTTAAAAATTTGAATTGGCGCGTAACCGCAACGATGCAACGCAATAACTGCAACACGGTATTCTTTAAGCGTCCACTCCATATTTAAAAATGAGTAAAATTCTAAAAGTTATACATTTTTATTTTCATGAACAATTCGAAATTCGAATTTCAATAAACTTTTTTGTGGCCAGCATTCTAAAGAAAAGTTTTTACTGTGTGACAATACTTATGACCTGACTAGTTATATATAAAAAGGAATTGCTGTTCGTTAGTCTCGCTAAAACTCGAGAACGGCTGGACCGATTCAGCTAATTTTGGTCTTGAATAATTTGTGGAAGTCCAAAGAAGGTTTAAAAGGTAGATATAATTATGAAAATGCTCGGAATTAAATATTTAAATTTATTTTATACAAAAGGTTAGGTCTTTTATTTATCGATTGAGGCACTAAGAAGTCTGGCGGGTCAGCTAGTCATAACTATAAAAAAAAGAATATACTATCTTTAATCTGCTATGTATTTAGGGTTTACTAATAGATACATTAGGGACATTAAAGATCATGTCAATACACTTTAAGATCCACCATGTTGTCAAGTGTGTACTGCACTTAACGAATGACATAGTAACTTTGATTCGAGTTATTTCCACATCACAGTGAAAATTATTTCATAATTACACCATATTTTTGATAAGATATGTACGTAAGTATGTGATGGATTCGTGACATTGTGTGACACATGTCGTTTTTAGATTATGCAATAGTTGTTCAATGTCGTAGTCTGATACTACGCGAGAATTTAGCGTCACGGTTTAGACGTCACGCGATGCGAGACAGCCCAAGCCAAATAAGTGGTCAGCGTGCACTGAAATGGCAACATCTCAAAGTTTAGAAGGAAAGTTGGTTGCATGAATATATTTTAGAACATAACGGTAGGATTAGAATTAAAATATAGTAGGAGAAGCTTGAAATTCTTGGCAACAGGACGTGAGTTTGACTTTGAGTCAATACCGTCAGTAATTACAACGGAGGGAACGCCAACATTTGAACACGTTAGATATACATTAGCATAGATTAGCATTGTTGCAGATTAAACAAGAGGTCACCGAGAGCCTTGACTTTTAGTAAAAAAAAAATTAAATTACTTAAACCATAAAATTTCTCCACAACTGTAAGATAGATTTTCAAAAGGAAAATTCAATTTTACGACCCAGTATTTAACATTGGATACTGCCAATCGAATCAAAGCGTTCGTATTTACGTGCTATGTCTGAATAAAGAAAAATCCACGCATTAACGGTCCACAGTTAAAACGAGAAGTTATTTGCCGCTAGTTGTCAAATAATACCAAAGAATGGCTCAATTTTAAAGAAAGAATGTGATATTACAATACCTACATAGATAACAAATTTTATTGGACTGATTTTAAAATAGTTAAATGTTTAAAAAAAAAGTAATTTAGTTACTATCTTATGTAATTATTGGTAGTTTGCGCACACGTGTTCTTACCAATATATTGCCTCAAAACAGTCAAGTGTTCCAGTTTAAAGGGTGAGACAATTGCTATAGAATGCAACCGAGACTTTGGTATTATGTCTCAAGGTGACATTCACATCATGATGTGAAGGGATTCTTGTAACCAATTAACACCAACCAAGCAGGACGTGAGCTGGTCCACGCATTTACGTTATTATAATATAATAATAATGAGTATTTATTATAGTAAATCTCTCACACAATCTCTATTATTAGTTAGCAAGTTTTTTGCCTGATTTGTATATAGACTGAATCTATGAATATAATTTTCAACAACTTTAAAACAATTGATTAACTTGAAACTTTTCAAGTCCACATATAACTATACCTAATAATTATCATTACCTTTGCCTAATACACTGACCAGGAACATGAGGCAGGCAAAAATAAATTACTCTCAATTTTACTTAGCATACTTTAAAAAAACAATATTTAAAAAAAAAAACAGGCTGCCTTATGTTTCGATTATGACAATATTAGTTAATAAGCCACTCATGTGAATTTCAAAACTAAAAACAAAGTAGTAGTGTAAGTTGTTGTACCTTAAAGTGTCAAAGTGAACCTTGTAAGTAGTATATTAAAGGTGAAATTAAATATACGGTTTACATAACTTTTTTTTTTTATTGTTTAGACGGGTGTACCAGCTCACAGCCCACCTGGTGTTAAGTGGTTACTGGAGCCCATAGACATCTACAACGTAAATGCGCCACCCACCTTGATATATAAGTTCTAAGTTCTCAATATAGTTACAACAGCTGCCCCACCCTTCAAACCGAAACGCATTACTGCTTTACGCATAATGCATAAACTGCAAATTCATATGAACTTCTGTTTTTTATTATCATTGAATGCATAAACTCAGCCACAATGTAGGGCTTGACAGCTCAGTTTATGTATATAATGTTATCTATAAAAATGAGTAATATGAAACAGTATCCGGGGTAAAATTATATAAAACTTTGTTTGAGGTGTGGAGAATTCAATTTAAAGGAAATGTTCTTGGAGAACTAGAGTATGAGATTTGAGTGTTTTATTTAAGACCTTATTTAGTTTAGTTTTTTTTTTGAATGTACTTCTATATAACTAGCACATTTAGTATTCAATATTTAAAATGCTAACATATATCCCCCTTGTCTTATATTCCTCATTGCTGAGGAATGCACCCTTTCATGTCACTTTCTCTCGTATGATCTTTCTCCAACTGTTTCTGTCTCTGTCTAATATACTATGTTTTAAATTCTTTGGCTTTTCCAGAATTAAACTAAAATTTGACATAATAGAGATGAGGAGGATAAAGACAGCAAACAGAAAACTCAGTCAAATTTCTGTAAATTAAATACATGATTAGATTTTCATTCTCAAATTCCGTTCAGTACTTTAAGGTACAATATATACTTATTGTCAGAATTCACACACTCATATTTGGTTTATATCGTACTATCTTCTGAATTATAAATTTAGCAAGCTGTTGTTTATAGGCAGCACTTAGTAAAAGACTATAGCCGAGACTGTTTTTTAAGCAAAACATAATAATTAGAATATTTGTCCTCGTTAGTGTAAATTGGTGATTTTATGAAACTTCCAAAAAGTACTCCAGTACTGTATTACTTTTTTTTATAATAAATAAACATCATATTTTATTATATGCCTTACCATTCTGATAGTTTTATTTACTCACAAAAAGGAAGCTTACTTTTCTTTTTGTAGATATACTTGACATAATATATCTTATGTATCTTAATAGATAATTTGAAATCGTTTATACATATTGGATTTTTACCAATTTTTACCATGATGTTGGTTTACCATTTTTTTTATGGAAAACACAAAAAACAACCTTATCCTTTTTATCATAAGCTATACAATTGTATTAAATGCCTCCATGAAATGTACATTCGATACATATCGATTACGATTTCTTTATTACACTTTCTGCCAAACTCTCCTTCATTACATTTCACATATTTACACACTCACACCACTTATTACACCACTTTTCCCAAAAAAAAAGTCCGAAATAGCACCTTAATTCTAATTGTAATTTAAAAAATTATAATTTTACCCGACGAGAAGTCATTTTGTGTTGAAGAGATAAATGGAACTAAGTTGGCGGTCAACAACATGTTGACGTAAAAGATAAGACATTCTTATCACATAGCTGAAGTAATATTATACTTATCAAATAATTTCATATTTCGGTTTCACCTTTCATTAGGGGATGTCATTTTTATGATAATAATTATTGTAATTTTTTATTCTGGTGAGTAATTTTTTCTTCTTAATAATGTATTTGAGATCTAGTGGGGAATATGCGACGAACTAACTAATCTTGAAGTATTGTTAATAAATTCCTATCCTTTTTTTGTCCTAAGGTCAAAGAGGTTAGGATGGTTATCTAACAGCAATATTGTAAGCGACTAAAAAACATGATTTGATTAGATGTTTTCGTGTATTTCCATAGTAATTAGCCAATTTTTGTTAGTCTAACGTATAGGTATAAAACTATGACAGGACGGACCGCAGTGACGTCCCCACGTAGTTCAAGGCCAGGTAATTCAAGGACACCGAAAGGTTGGCAAAAAAATTATCAAATCTATGTGTCAAAGTCACATTAATATTTAAATAAAGAAAACCCTCAATAAGTACGATAATAAAACTTACCCACCTCTTGACAGCTGGCTTGAGTTAACAAGGAGCCGAACAAAGATTTAAACATTACAGTGTTTTTACGTCACAAATTTAAATTTTTTGAAAGAAAAACGTAATATTATAAGTCTTAAAACAGTTTGGTGAAGTTCGTTTGCTGTGATAACACGTCGCGATACGTAAAAATGTTTGAAAATCTATTTTTGTTGGACACGCAGAGCGCTCATGTTCATCTAAGCCGCCCGGCTGGTTTAGTACTGCTTAATTAGACAGTAGTTTTTTCAACTGGGCAAGTTCAACAAAATAAAGATTCTTAAAACGGTCGCATTATCAATTCTTTTTTTAACGAAATTTGACGTATTAGGTAGTGATGCGCGATAGTGAATACCTAGTGTTCGAACATATTTTAAAACCAGATATCACAATTCACAATTGATGCAGATTTTTCAATCGTCGTACTTTCATAAATAAATATTAGACAACTTGTTTGCTACATAAAAAAATGAACTATCCACATTGTACGTTGTAAATTAATTTTTATGTATCTAAGCGCTATTTATATTTGTTTTTTTTTAAATAATATTTAACTCAAAAGAACTGAATTCCTGTAGGTGGCGCCTCGATCTTCCAACATCGAAACATTGAAAGTTCAGTTAGAACTTATTCTCGCAACTAGATGTCGTTATTTCGATTTTTACCAAGCTGAATCTTTGACCATTTATGACATAAGTTTGAGGATTCTAGATTATTGCAGTTTAATATTGACAATGGTACCTAATTGATTTGTTGTGAACGTGATAATAAATTATTATTTTCGTTTTCAACACAAGTGGTATATAAATCGAAATATATTTTTAATTATTTATGTACTTTCATCTTTCTGGTTGTTCCAACAAGACGATACGGAATATACTTGCTATTACGATATTAATTACTTAAAAACAAATTAAATAACTACATATTTTTTTAATAATTTACATAACATTTCTGTGTGTACATAAATAAATAAATAAAAAAATAAAAAAAAAACATTAATAATATTTTCAAAAAGTAGGTATAGGGTAAAAGTAATAATATAAGTAGGTATTAATTACCCTTTACTTATATTAACATAAGTAAAAGATAATAATATGTTATTGTGTCAAAAATGTTTTTTTTTAAATATTTTGTTACATTAACGGGAAAACCTTTTAATTTTTGCCTTTCGGTGACCCGGTGAAAACATAATATGAATGTTCTGATCGAAAAATATAAAATTTGACATCAAATGATCAAGAGCAAATATCAGCTAAGTTGTTCGTCACTTATAATATTATATCATCATTGTGGAACGTGTTAACGAGCTATCCAGTGAGTTATGAACCGCAACTCTAACCTCAACACGGTCTCCGCAGCCAACTAGTGCAAATGCACAATGCGTTGTGCACGTACAGCTGTGCAAACGAATTCGAAACACGAATAATAAGTTCGTTAGCAGACAACCCATGCTGCGGTTGCGACTATAAACAAATGGACATCATTATTTTGAACTAACGAATATTTTTGAATCAAGCTCACAATTGAAACACGCAATTTTTCACAATAATACAGTTAACATAAGACAGAGACCAAACAACAGCCGCCTAAACTACCCGCATGTGGCTAATTACATGGAATAAAAGGCATTAAAAGGATACCTAGGTATATAAAACACAGTTTTATTTAAATAGACAAAGGCAAACCGGTATTGGTGGTAGGGCATCTTGTGAGTTCACACAGGTATCACTACCCTGCCTATTTTTGCCGTGAAGTAGTAATGCGTTTCGGTTTGAAGGTTAGGGCAGTCGTTGCACTGGCAAAACTAAGACCTTAGAGCTCATAGCTAAAGGTGGATGCTTATAGATTCTTGTAACCACTGAACACGACAATAGCGAGTTAGGAGCGATTGGACATAAAATCAAGCTAAAACTCGATGTGTGAGTAATTTTATTCGTATTTCAATTATTATATAGCATTAAATAGCTGGTTGAATTAAATGATTGACAGGAATATGAAATGAATAATATATTAAATAATCATCAGTATCATGTATTAATTTGGTAATTAGGTGTTTTTAATGTTTCATTATAAATTGTACAAGGGAGCTTATGCCCAGCCTTTTTTTATATTTTGGAACGAAGTTCCTTAGGGCACGATACGGAGGGGTACCCTGACCGGGAAAAAACGTCCGTAACGTAAGATTTTTATTAGTAATGCACACAGTGTACGACTTAACTTTGTAATAACGTACAAAAAATAACATATTTTTTTATCATTCATTGACCACGATCTCAGAGCGTTCGTTTGCGCAATACACTAACTCTTATGCAAACAACCGTGAATGAAGTGTACCACAATAAGTTCGCACGTTACCGAATGACCGTGGGTTGTTGCGAAACCTCCAGTTTTATTTTCTTTATACCTCGAATAGAACTTTAAATTAATATTTTTATATTAAGGAAGTTAGTTCCTATCCGGTGTCCCACGACACCACACGTTTTTTATTGCCGTATAGGCAGTTGAACAAACGACCCACCTGATGGTGAGTTGTTACGATAAACTCTACTCCGATGGCGAGCGGTGTGATGGTAAAAACGAGATGATGATATCATCTCAATCAATTCCTCAGAGCACTCCCCGTGGAATATGGTACAAAATACAGAGGGAACCGAAGTCGCTCTGCAGACCCAGAGGCTTCAAATGATCAGTGAGAATGGGATTATCGCCAATCCGAACGGCTCTCTTCTTTAAGGAGTCAAATGGGAGTAGCTGGTATTTGGGAACCCCGGCCCAGAGGTGGAAGCAGTACTCCACTCGAGGCCGGACCTGTGCTTTGTAAAAGAAAAGTCTTTGTCCAGGCGTGAACTACCGCTTCGCTCTGTTGAGAACTCCCAGTAGCTTTGACGCCGACTTGGCTTTGCCCTCCAAATGACTTCGAAATTGGACATCGCTCGAATATGGCGACCCCAAGTATCCCGATACTCTTCGAAGGTTGCAAGGATACACCTTGGAGGTATCTAGTGTCAAGTGGTTGCTAGTGCTAAGTGGAACCCGTAGACATCAATAGCGTAAATGCTGCTACTTCTTTAGTTATGAGATCAAGTCTCAGTTCTATAGTACAAAGGCTGCCCCATCCTTCAAACCGATACATATTAGGCTGAGATACTTCCTAGGCAGTGATACCTGCCCATGCCAGTTCTTTAAACTTCTTACCACCTGTACAAGCGGAGTTACGGAGCACACGTCTAATCTATATTACAAATAAATAAAATTGGGGCGTATGTTTTTAATATTAAAATAACCGCTTTTTACTACATGCACGGCTAATCTCTGGAACGGCTGGACCGATTTCGACGGGACTTTCCCCGGCAGGTAGCTGATGTAATAAGGAGTCACTTAGGTTACTTCTATTTTAGACAAATTCTAAAATTATTATAAGATAAATTCCACGTGGACGCGGTCGCGAGCACAAAAACTTATTACCTAATTATGAAGCGTGACAAACTTTTGTTTACTATACACCACGCTGTTATAGTTTATTTCATTTTGAAATGAAATAAGCCCTTAAGTAGTGTTATCTACTAGGTATTACCAATATTATGCGTATGGGACTAGATAATATAGTGCTGGCCACAATAGCGGTTATCATTTTAGAGACAAATGGAGACAAACGACTCGTTCCGGGAAACATACGGCACGTGCACAGAGTATACTCGTTAGTGTATTCGGTTCATTGACATAATGAGAAATCGTGAAACAGTTCAAATAATTATAAATAAATATTTAATCAAGTCAGTAGACATTGCGAAGTGATGACTGTGAGACAGCCTAAGCTTAAACGGTAATTGTACAACCGGTCCCCATCTGTCCTCCCTACCCTTCAGCTCCGAAAGTACCTAAGATTTCGTGCCAAAAACGGACAAGATTACGCACCCGTATAGTTCACACCGCCATTGAAATACGAAACAGATTACGCCTAGATTATCATTAAGAATCGGTGTCATTCAGCAGACAGAGATTCTGAGCTCTGGAGCTGTATTGTTACGGTCTAGAATAACACCATGCTATCTCTTCTCGTGGTTTTTGTAAGGGCGACAAAGATATTCACCGAAGTATTTTCATCAGCGTTCTCTTAGTATTATGACAACGTTTCCGACCCTTAACTGGCAACTAGTGGTGAGGGGTAGGTTTGATTATTTTTGCCGCAAGCCAGGCATGGGTTCCAAGTCGAGGGGGCGACAGCTATTTTAGAACACAATCAAGAATACGTCCTTATGTCTAAAATTTAGAACAAAAAAGTAACAAGACGCTCAGGGCAAAATATCTGGTGTATTATTTTATCTATAGTGGCTATGAATCTGATGGACTACACGAGAATCTACTACAGGTAAAGGAAACTAAAGGACATCAAATATTTTACAGCGCTCCTTGAAAGTGCATTTTGTAGTAAGAGTGTACACCTCAAGTACACACTCTTGAGGAAATTTCCATAACATTACATAATACATTAAGCTTTAAGGGAATTTTCGGAATGAGCTTTCAGTGGCCACCTTTATGGTTCGGGCATAGTCTAGAGCGGGGACAAGAGATGCTTTCGTGTGTATTAAAATGTTGATAGTAAAATGAAACCGTTTTCAGTGTATTTTAAGGTACCACAGTTGAGTAAATTCGCAGTTATGATACATTATTGTAAAGATTAGGATAGGATTGTTTAACGTGATATTGTAATAATATCATGAGGTCAATCAAACAACTCAATGAATTGTGCTTAAATATAGAATATAATTTAGGAAATCCCTTAAAACATTGTTCGTTTAACGCAAACAATTACGCAAATAAATATTTTGTGGCGAACGCGCGAGGAGCGAAATTGTTTGAACTGTTTTATTTTGTTCTTTTAGAGTTTTTTCAGACCTGAACGTGCTTATTAACGTACTTTTACGTAACGTTACGTAACGTTTAATAACGTACAGTTAGTAACCGTTTAGTATATAGTATATAGTGTAGTAGTCGTAGTATATAGTAAAAGTGCATAAATCTGGGAAAATGAAATAAAGTCCTTGAACGTGGCCTATCAGGTTCCATGAAAAAAACCCATTGAAATCTCAACATATCCTCATGATTTTATTGGGACGTTATTTCTCTTTATTTAGTTATCGTGGCCTAAAGGATAAGACGTCCGGTGCATTCGTATGTAGCGATGCACCGGTGTTCGAATCCCGCAGGCGGGTACTAATTTTTCTAATGAAATACGTACTATACTAAGACCTTAGAACTATATCTCAAGGGTGTGGCGCATTTACGTTGTAGATGTCTATGGGCTCCAGTAACCACTTAACACCAGGTGGGCTGTGAGCTCGTCCACACATCTAAGCTATAAAAAAAAAAAAAAAAGTGCATAAATCCGGGAAAATGAATAAAGTCCTTGA